GTTGTGTTGTACTGCGTAGTGTACTTACTGTACACTACACCTCTGCCGCCATGTGAGTCGTTAACGTGGTACCGCCAGCCACCCTTGCAATATTCGGGGACCTGGAGGTGTGCGAAGCAGTCATCTTTGGTTCGAAGAATAAAGTGATCGCCACTTTACAGTTCATGCTAACCTTCAAATGCCGGCAGAGGTTTGAAGGACAGGAACTCATGCAACTGCCGAACCAAGCCAGCTGTGCTTGTACAGTAGAGTGCCCTGTAACTGCAAGTCCCCTTAATTGCAAAGACCCAGTAAGTGCTAGGAATTTCCGTGCCCGAATTATTTTACTATGGTACAGCCTGCTAACTGCTAAATGCAAAGCCTTTCAGTGACTCGCCATATAAATTTGCACCTGATGAGGTAGCTAACAGGGGGCTTGGGTACCTCTGTCACCCCTGTTTATGCTGTCACTGGCCCTTAGACCCCCTCATAAGAGCTGTGATTGGCTGACGCAAGCCCCTGTACAGAAACCAGTAAATGCTAAGACCCAGTAAATGCGAAGAAAATGACATGCCCGGATTCTTTGCATTTACAGGGCACTTGACTGTATGTCACGTCAACTCAACTGCCGTTGCCTCTCACTCAGCTCACATATCCAATTGTTTTCCAGAAATGAAGGTTAGCCAAGAGCTTCTTCTTCTTCAGTTGCTTGGCTTCTTTTTATAGCGTGTATAAAATGAAGGGGGTGGCGAGAAAAGAGAATCATTGATTATGGATTTGTGGTAGTCCAGTCCAGTCCAGTGCAGTCCAGTCAGTCATATGCATGAAGCCCTGGTCCTGGTTACCGTAACCGACGTGGTAGTCCCGGCCATTTTGAGCCTCATAGGTCGCAGCCCAAATTGGACTCTACCAGTACACTACATACCTCTGCATTGTACACTTCATCCGGCGTTCGTGCTCCCCACGACTAGTGACGGATCAGTTTTGGCATTGAAATGCGATAGCTTGTCAATAGCTCTTCTCACGTTTCTTCACTTCATGGCACGTGTTCGTCCTTTTGGTTTTTTTTTCGCCTTTCCGGGGTTGAGCCTAGATCGGGTTCTACTCGTCTGGGCTAGAAACGCCTTCTAGACCCGTTTCTCGCAGCAATGGGTGTACATCGGTTTGCTAGCGATTTGTATGACTAGCCAGGTATGCCCTTCCTGTGTGAATCAATTCGCATCTGTAAATCAATGCGCCACACCCCTTGGCCGGGCCAAGGGGGGTGACAGATGAATCGAGCCTACACGAGTAGTGCAGAAGCAAATCTATTCTGGGGTGAAGGTGGAGGTTTGGTATCGGATTCTTGACATCCAGGTGGACAGTGGTCCGTGAGATGCAACATTTCGGCCGTCTACCCAAAAGTGAAATTGTTGCTCGGGGTGGGTTTTGATTTTTTTCGGTGAGAACAACCATTGGTGCCCCGCCCGGCGGCTTGTGGCTGATCACGAAATTCGACCGAGAACGGATGCCACGAGACCCATATACTACGCTACTGACGATGTTCACCGTCTGGAATTCTCGAGGCCCTGATGCGCTGAGCTACACAAAGCCGTACTGTAGTGTCAACGATATAACACCCCCTGCATGGATATAAAAGGGTACCTCGTGAATTGGGCGATCTCTGGGGGTGGCAAATTCTTTAGTGTACTCCCAAGGTGGCTGTCTGTACGAGAAATGAGCATTGTAGACATTTTGATACCCTAGATTCCTGTGGTACCACTAGCTCCCTTGGCTGTAGTGGACATGGAATAGTTGACGGACGGACGACGCGCGACGGGTCGTGGGCGGGCGGGTGGATGGCGGGGACCCTTAAGGTACCTTTGAGCCATGAATCTAGGAACGTCCTTGCTTCTGCCTTCAAATTTTATGCGCCGTGCAATCCCCCGGGTCCGCTCTGTGGTTGGATTGGTGGCAGCTAAACCCTACAATCAGCTCCGGGCGGTGCTGGTCTCGAGACCGGGCCCGGTGTGGGCGACGATACATAACCCGGAGGACGGAGATTAGGGTTTCGGCGACCGCATGAAGGCACACAAAATGTGTCCACCTCACCTCCGAGATTATAGCGTAAAGGGGTCGGCAACGGGCCGATATGTACGTGATATCTTCAAGGGACGAGGGCTTGTGAGACACGGCAGCTTGGCAACGGCGTTGCTCGTGATTTGTACATGAATATCGAGGGAGAGGGTCGTCAAGCAAAGGGGTCCGAAACGCTATATTAGTATTACCACCAACCCATATCAAGCGAAGAGCAGAATGCCTTGAACCCAAAACCTACATTATATCCTCGCTCAATGGTCATGATGGTTTCATATTGTCGACATTGACTCTGAATATTTTGTTGTGTATGTGCGTGCGCGTGTGCGTGCGCGGAGCGGTCGTGGATAGAGCATCAAGATTTCCGTGTCCGGCATTGTCCCTGCCGAACCGTTCTCACCTCCGGGTCCGGGCTGGACTGGTCCTCCACTAGGATGGCCTGATCCACAATCCGCTTTGACAAATCGAAAGAGATTGTTTTTTATCTCCGAAAGACTTGCCGAATCTCCTTCGGATTTGACGGCCATGTTCAATGCTGTTGGCCGAGCCTGGCAAAGTTTGGCACGTCCCGCAGCCTCGAGTCACGGCCTGTCGATGTCGTTCGCAAGCACGACACCACCCGCATCGCTATCAGCGCCTAGAGGTCACGGCGGATCGACAAGTCAAGGTATCCTAGCTGATGGACCAGCTCTTTTCGGCATTATCCGCACACGCGCGTGCACTTTTAATCGGCGATCCAGTGACAGGTGTCGGGGTCGAGTGGGGATAGCTTCACTTTTCGTCTCACTTTCTCGTTGGTCGCTGGCCATTTGATGTCACCCAAAAATCTTGACAGAAGAATTGCTCCTCCTCGGTGCCTCCTCATATTGCGGCTGACACAAATCACCGCTACTTCATCAACCTGCCGCCTGGATATCGACCCTCGTCGGTCAGCAAGTTCATCATGGTTCGACGTGGCTCGTTCACTGGTCGTTTGCAGATCCGTCAAGCATCGCCTCCTTAACAACCCCATTCTCCAGCTTTTACTCCAGGAAAATCAGAAAAACCGGAGATCACGGAGACAGAGCCCACGGGGCAAAGGAGCGGAAATAACACGAGTCTGTGGAGGTTGGACGTTTGAAATCGGAGTAGTCTCCGGATTGCCCAAACCATACACCCGACAGTGCCGCACTTCCTGTCCCCATGCTCGCAACGCAATTGGGTGATCGCCTTTGTCTGGCCCCTATAATTACCCCTGAAACAGCCTGTTTGCCGTGTGTGCAATGTAAACATCGACGTCGCATGCGTGTCATGGCATCGTAGCCAGCGATTCCCTCCAACCTCCAAATCCCTTCCCCATCTGTCGTCACTCCGGCGCATTGTCGGTGGCATGGCGCACGTGTGATAACACCTACCACACTATGATGGTTTGTCAACGTTCCGTTCCGTTGGTCGATGTGTCCCGATGGCCAATTGGCAACGATCATTCCGCACTCGCACTGAACAGTTGCGATTTGCGCAGCGCGCGTCAAGTGCGCCTGTCAATTGGGATTTTCTCCGTTTCCATTTCACAGCTTTGTGGATCGGCATCCACCATGCCACCCAAGCCAGACCAAACCAGATCCGGCATGCTGGAACCCTAGCTTGGCGCCAAAAACCAGATGGTAACCTAGTCGTAGCCTCGGAGACGAAGAGGTTCTCACGGCCCTGAGCCCTAGCATGGCCGCCCTTGCCGCTTGCAAGCCCTAGCACGATAGGCTTGTGGGGCATAAAAATGCGGCTTGTGTATGTATTTCCCCGTACGTAAGGAAGCTTTTCAACGCCGTGGACCCTGCCGCCGCTGATATCCCGTGGTAAGCCCACGACCGGGCGCTCAGATCGTAGTGTAGGAGTAACGGTTTGTGCACTGTCACCAATCGGCAGGATCACAGGAAGAAAAGATGCGGAATAGGGATGCGGCAATCCGTCAACTGGTCGGCCATATCAGATGAAAAATGTGGTTGTGGTGGTGGGGTCAAGACTGCCGAATGAGCCAAACCCCTAGCTGCGCAAGCTCGAACCCTGGCGGTATGTATCCTTCATTGTTAGCATCGATCCACCTTTCGACGTCATCAAGACATGCTCTCTTCTTAGTGTAGCCCGATAGCCCCACATCAGCGCTACGCTGTTACCCACCCTCCTCTGGGGCTCTGAAGAACTTCACCACAGCACTGTAATCGCAACAACAAACAGCGCCATGTACTCGCTAGGTTCAATAAGTGCTTGACCGAGTTTGCTCACCTCGAACTCCACTGTTCTTCACCGTGCCGAGCCAGAGTTAGGGCTAGGTGCCCGAGGCCCACTTTCTTCATTACCCCTACGCTGTTTGGTGCAATCTAGCTGTCGATCCCGAGTCACGATTGCGATGCCAACGAGTGGAAACCGCCAACAAAAGCTTTGTCGTGGATAAAGTGGGGGGGACATTAGGACGAAACTCGGTCTTGCTCGGTAGGTAGCTCGGATGGGTCGTGTCGAACGAAACGCGAAGCTATTCCTGCAATTTTGGCGACTGCAGCCCATCCACTCCTCTACATGGGCAGAGTCACCGCTGAGTCGCCAAGGTTAGTCATCCACTTTGTGTGTTGGCCTCCCCTTAGTGAGCAATGTTAGAGCAGTTGCGATGACGCTGATGGCGGCGTGACGATGATGATGGCGACGGTGACATGCTTCGGTGGCCCATAGCCATGAATTGGCCATGGAAGGAAAGAGAAACCCCCAACCCCTTGTAAATGATATAAGGAATGAGACTTGATCAACACCTAAAACGTCTGCCCGTAACTCCTGCAAAAGAATACCACAAGGTCCATCCGTAGTGTCGGAGGGCACACATGCTGTGATATAGCATGATGTACTTGACGTTTGGACTGACCAAGGAGCATCGCATTTCGCTGCATGTTATTGCGAAAGTGAGATGGCCTGACCATGAATGCATAAATGGAAAATGGTATATGTGATAAAGATGATATAGCAAAAATCCTTCCAACTTTTTGTTTTCGCTCTCTTATTTTATAGTGCCGCCAACTCCAGTGCCATATATGCGATGCCTTCGTACCCAAACAAGACAAAATCGAGCCTTGATGCAACTGGTAGAGACAAATAGTCAAATAAATCGTCGCGTTCGTGCCATTTCAATACCCAAAAGAAACAGGAAAGGAAAAGAAGATACCACAAGAACAACTCCCTGCTGCGCCGACATAAATAAAACTACCATCACCACCTCCATGTTGGAGCATATGTTGGTCCTTTGGATACTGAACAGGCCTCATTGGGCCATGATATCGTATGGGACCGACTATAAATGTGGAAGGATTGGTATTTCAGACTAAGAACGGGGCATGGGTATCCGAGAAAGGCAAGAAACATCGCTTTGTTGGTGTGACTTGAAATCAGATCTCGTCATGATGAGCCATCCCAAAGCGGGTGGACAGTGCCATCGGCTGGGGCGGGGTCTTGGAGGGCCAAACCGCCGTAGTGAGTGATCCAGAAAGCCGGATCATCCTCAAGGGGAAAGTTGCTGAAATCGGGTAAGTTACTCGTCAAGAGATTGGAATCATCACTGCCAAGTGACGAGTTGTTTGCCAAAAACTTGGCACCGGCCTTCATCATCTTGAACTCTTCAAAGTCAAGGAAAGGGTCAGCAGCACCGTAGAGGTTGGGCTGGGGCTGACCATACCCAAAGCCGCTACCGGACGTAGCGGCACAGAAACCAGATGTAGTCTCCCAGTCATCCAGAGCTGGCAAAAAGTCCTCGACTTCAGACATGTCGCCCGAGGTGGATGTGTTGGTGGTCAAGGTGGAAAGCGACTCAGATCCGTAGTAATCGAAGGAGCCGTAGCTTTGCGCCTGGTCATAGCTGGACGGAGCAAAGTCCACCGACTTGTTGCCCAAGTCGAGACCCTCGTAGTGGCTCCAATCAACAGAGGTAGCGCTCAAACCGGCGCTGAACAGGGGCTGATCATTGTCGGAGAGACTGCCAAAGAAGTCTGCGCTGTTGGGGACATATGGGGTGTACTTGATGCTGGAAAGATCCAAAGGAGGGAGCTGTCCGTTGAGCTGGGCAAACGTCGAAGAGCCCGTCATAAGTGGCGAGGCGGACTCGGACTGTGCTCCACGCTGCATGGCAAGGCCACTGCCGCTGACGTCCAAGTTATCGACGGAGCGAGCTCCCAGGCTGGGGGTGGTGCTATGCATGGAGTTACCCCTGCTGAGCGTGTAAGGACCGCACTTCTGCGAGGGCTTGGTATGCTTGTACGTGGGCTTGTGATGGCCGTTGGCGTCGAAAGAGAGCATGGCATCCGAGTTGGTTGTGTTGGCCCTGCGCCTGCTGCGGGAAGCGGACTTTGAGCAGCTTCGCGATACGGAAGAGCAGCTTTTGTCCGAGTCAGACTCGGGGACGGTCTCGAGCTGAGGATGCTCCTTCTTGTGGCAGCAGGTACAGCGACCGCCATGGTTGCAACAGCAGCTTTCTGCAAGTAGACGATATGAGAGTCAGACAAAGCACAGCCTCATCAACCCGGCACAGCGAAGACTGGATGCTCACCCTTGTGACCCTCGACCGTTACTTGCAAGTGAATGCACTTGCTCGTCTTTTCACCGCAGTCGCACTTGACGTGCGAGGCGCGATACTTGCGCATGGACCGACAGTGCTGACATTGCGAAACCGGCCGCCCCTTTTTGTTAATGTGCTGGAGTGGACGATCTGCAGCCGCACCGCGCAAAATTAGCACAATTCCCCACGTAAAAGAACCGATATCAAGACGATTGAATAGACACTGCCAAGCCAATTGCATGAGCTGCACCTTCGTTGACCAGAAATTGCCCTCCTTCTCCCCAATGCTTCCTTCGGCCCCATCGTTTCACGATGTCCTAACCCGAGTGCCCACGGGTGTCCACGGTTGCTCACAGTTTAGCGATCTGGGGGCTTCAAACAAGGCAGGTCGTCTCGCCTTGGAACCAGGTTCCAGCACCACCCAAAACCTACTCTCGCCCCCTTGCCTTTCAAGCCGACCTTCCAGTGCAGTGCAGTGCAGTATGGATCAAGTAGTAGGTAGGGCTAGCGGGATGTAATGCGAACTCGGCAATATGGAGTTACTCACCGTGGTGTTGGCAGTTGCTCACACGATGACCCCTCACACAGGCCTCGCAAGCCCACTTTTCACCGTTGATGAGCATGGTCGTTGAAGCTTTCGGATGTAATGTTAAAGGTGATGCTGGCGATCGGACCTCAGACTTCAGGCCTCGAGAATGCTGGATCTAGCAATGGAAACTTGGGTGGGTTGGAATATCTAGAAGTCGCTGACGTGGTGCGGTGACGCTGCTGCGGGATCGGAGCTTGGTTCCTAGCACAAGAACCCTATTGCCAAACTTTTTTTTTTTCTCCTTCCTCAAAACTGGTTATGTGTGACTGGTGGCGGGATCACGGGCCAGTACTTTCGCGTCCTGTATCTGCGACTCGACTCCCTGGAGTTATTGCGCTGGAGCTGGGACTCGGAGCTGTATGTTTGTCGGTGTTTTGCTGCTCAGGGGCAACGCGTGCAGACTCGGTCGAAGCTGTCGATGGTAAGGTACGGTTGCAGGTGATTGATGTACCTCTGGGTGCGGTCGAGACTCCCGGGTAATGTGCCCTCTATGATTGGGGTGGTCCAGTGCACTGATGTAAGCCTTCGCTTCAGGGGGTGGGCACCTGGTAAAAAAATGTCTAGAGTGGGAAAAACAAAGATGTCGAAATACGCAAACTCTCAAATGCTCATGCCCGTGCGTGCGGGTATATAGGTCGACGGGAAACAGGTGGCAATAAGACCAAAAAAAAGAGTTGGGAAAGCAAAAGTGCCGATGACTCCGGTGAACAAAGCCGCCCTCGCAACAAGCATATAAAGATGGCAGACAGGACCAGGCAATGTGGGCTTGAAGTGGAGATTTGGCCAAAGTTCGTGTGTAAGTCGCGGGCGCGAGAGCGACGGTGGGCGGCGACGGTAAGCTAGTACGGTGGGCGGAAAGGTTGGTGACGAGGCCCTGGCTGTGGTGGCTCTTGGGACGGGGCCTGGGGGTTTGCCAGACCGGGGACTCCAACGACCAACGGGGACCGACTGGAAATTGGCGGGCGTAAGTGGGGCTCGCAGAACATGGGACACCACTGCTTGCCTGCAATCTTGCTGCAACCTCACGGGATGGGTGTCGGGAAGGCTTGCCTTGTACTCCGGGCCTGGGGGGGTAGGATCTCGGCTGAGCTGCACTGTTGGGAAACCAACCTGGAGACTAACCCGGAGACTGGAGTCGGGGTGGGGTGAAGATTGCTGACTGCCTGTATTCGCGTAGTAAGATAGACGTACGGTATCTATCGATGTAATTTTCCCAGCTCAAGATTTCCGGGTCGGCGGCTTGGCAGTGACAGCTTGTCTGGCTGAAGACTTGCTCGAGTGGACGTTCAAGTCGATCGAGATATTGCGGCAGCCGGGCGACGGGGTCAAGCACATTTCCTGGTTTCCAGACAGATCAAGCTAGGTAGGTCTGCACGTCGGAGAGGTGTCTTAACCGCCAAGGTGAGGTGAGGAGGGACGCCGCTCTCATTGGGACAAGCAAAGGGGCAAAGAGAAGGACGTGAGAGTAGAAAAGAGATGAGCTAGTAAGGCGCCATATCCCATGGTCGGCGGCCGACGGGCAAGAGGGTGGTCCGGTCTTTTTAAGGTCTCCCTGTCCCCTCCAACACCCGCCATGAGGATATGGGGGGCTCGGGGAATGCCACTTTTACCTAGAAAAAGGCATGGGCCACGGCGGGATAGGTAGGAGCGGCCGAAGAGAGATCATGATAAATGGATACCTCGTCGAGCTGCCAACTCGCTGTCCAGGGCCTGCTTCCCGTGCTGCTGATGAGCCATCCGTCACTCACTGCGTGCAGTCACTGGCAGACTGGCACTGCATCCCGTTGTCCATTTGTGGGCATTGTGGGATGGGCGTCCGTCTGGGGTGGGCCATGGTCGTAATAAGGCTAGCGATTATGTTGCAGAACATGGGAGACAGGATGGAATAGATCAAAGCCGGAATGATCATTGAGCAATTGGAAGAAAGCAAGACCCCAAGCCGGGAACACCAGGCGAGCCCGGGGTGCAGTGACGAAATGGGAGCTGCCAGATCGGGATGCTAAGGGAACAGGTGCAGTCCGGTGCCCGGTGTGGTGGGCGGGTTTCGTTGAACCTTTGACCGCAGCTGCACAGATTGCAGAGGAAGTCGCAGTGACTCCCGTCTGGTGCTCGCATGAGGCACAAAGCTCCGGGCTCAAGGTACCTACCTATGAATAATGTACCCAAGTTGCAGAGGTAAGCTTCAACTCCATCCTGGCCTATGGTGTCCTGCCTGTTGGGGAGGGGGGTCAGGTTAGTTGTAGGCAAAGTCGGCATCGCGTTGCAACCTAGAGGTACTACACGGAGCCCCAAATGGTAGGCATGGGAGGTTGGCCCGGCGGATGAATTGACACTGCACGCTTCGTGGCACGAGCTCTGTCAGTGAGATATCACCTGTAGGTCTATTACAAGACAATTCTTCTTGATAGACGGGGGGAGGAGTAGCGGGAGACACACAACTCTAACCCGAGCTGAAGGCAACATAAGCGACGACATAGGAAAGAACCGGGCTGGAAAGACCGAGACGAGAAGTGCCTTTGGGATGTCCTTGAGACAAGGCAATCACAACCTCGAGCCTTCGTTGTATCCGTCATGACCCAGCATCAGGAAGTGTCGGGCATTCCTCCTGTGAACGCTGTTGGCAGGCGCCATGTGGCAGGTTCGGAGCAGAGCGGGATGGAAACCGCAAGCCCTGGCAGCCATTTCCTGAATTCAGCATCATTAATGTAGCCTGCCATCCGTGCTTCATCCCACCCCATTCTGGTCTCATGCGACCTGTCTTGATTGGACCCCTATTCGTGTCTTGCTATCAGTCGCATTCTACGCAGCTTGACCCCGAATTCGATGTTAGGGGTTTCCACAGATCGGTGATGAGGTGAGCGTGGGGAACCTGGATTACTACTAGTACACCACCTCACAGAAGTCGAAACGTTGCTTCCTCTCATGCTAGTGTACTGTCGGCCCTAGCTGGTTCAGTCTTTCTGAAGCTGAGTGCGATGATGAGATGGTTTGAAGGTAAGGTAGCCTTGGCAGGTACGATGAACCCCAAACTCGGCTCCTTCCTGACTCGGGACAGTCTCTTTGTGAGGAAATGGAAGGAGGGTCGAACTGCACGTGTAGAGGTAATGACAGGAGCAAGCCCATGGAGGAAAGAATACCCGGATGTACCGCAGCATAGTGGACGGTAGTGGTTGATACTTCCACTTCTATCTCCGATCGTCGCCGGGTGCCCTGGGCAGGCATCTCAGTGGGGACCTCTACGATGGAGATGTGTTCTGAGTCGTTCCACTGTTCCCCGTGCTCTGCCCGGCCCCATTTTGCACTGCAAGCCATCGATTCGCATCGACGGAAGCGACCTTGTCATCACGCAATGAAACAGGTTCCATCGTGAAGCACTCGCTTAAAATCTTACTTTGTTGCGCACCTCCCACGACAAGCGCGCCCACTCAGCCTTCCCATTCGGGCTCTCCCAGGGCACCCGGCCTTTTCCATCGTCACTTGCAATTACGGGCTTGTTGCATCCTTCCCACGCCCGGCCTCCCCCGGGTCTTTGCTACGAGAGGAAGCCACCCTGCCTCCCTGCTTACCGAGGCAGCGAGACATGAGGCAACATGGACAACATGAAAGCCTCCCTCTGCCTTTACGTTTGCCGTAACCGCTCGGTCGCGTATCCGAGAGAGCGCAAAGAAGGCTGGCGAGAATGGTTGCAGCTTTAAATGAGCACATGCATCAACGAAACCGCCGAATTGGGCCCGTCTTTTAACCTGTTCTTGTATAAGGTAACAGGCTACGCTAGGCCCGCAGCCAATTACCCTGGGGTTCGTCCTCCTCCTCGCTTGCCCAGTTCCACGCTAAAGAATCGCTACTCTCCTTTGGGCCCAACAACGGCCCATGCTGGCTGATCGGATTAGAGCAGTTCAAACCAACACCTCCTCCACAGCGCACATCCCACAACCCTAACGGTATCGACGGGCAGCTCTGCAGCCTATAAGTCCATTGGTGGGGTCATCGCCGAATCTCCGCCGCTCACAACTTGAAGTGACAGGCTGACAGCTTGTAGTAAAATCATGTCTTTCGAAGACACCTCTGTATCCACAACATCATCTGGCCTCGGAATGTCTCACTGTCTAATATCTGTGCATGTATGGGGAAATCAAGATCCATACCGGGATGACTTGGCTGGTTCGAGTCCCAAGTCGTTCCTTTGCCAGAAGATATCGATTCGTCTGTACGGTGTGGATGAAGCATCTTATCTTGTAGGAAGGGAACCCCCAGCCTTTTGACAATGACCAAAAGGCGGTGCTGAAGTATACCACATATCTCATGTTTTCAGCACTTTCATGATTCTCTCACAAATTGTCTTACTCAAGCAGGTCGAAGAGGAGAGAGCCGACATACAATTTGCGGATACAGGTTCGATCCATGGCAACAGCCGGACCGCGCTGCAGCGGTCGCTAATGTACGTGCAACTCCACCATCTTACTGTAGTGTATGTATATCGACATCAAGCGAAACCAACCACACAAATTGGGACTTCTGCGACCGATCAAGGCAGAACCTAACGATACCTCTTATGGAACACCGTACAAGGGCTTCCGTATCTTTACCAGGCATCTCCGATACCTTGGCCCGGTTGCAGCATAAAACACAACCACAACCTTACGGATCCCAAGCTTCTTAATGGTCATCCAGGGGGTTGACAGGTTCCATACGACCTGACACAGGCCCATGATACAGCCTCATCATTTCTTTGCCGCCCGCTACGGGTTAATGAGAAAGCTGCATGTTAGGGTGCCTAAATACGCTAGATGGTCTCCACCAAGCCGCATCAAAAGGGGCCGACTTCTCCAGAGTCCCCCAGATCGGCAACAACAGGGGTATCGACCACCATGCTAACAAAATTCGCCGGGACATGGCCGACTGTAGAATACACCGCGGATGGAACGAAGAGAATCAACTTGAAAATCGGACCAACAAACGTGGACCATTCCAGTCTTGAGGTAACCAGAACTCCGTTCTCGTGGTCGCAAAGGTTTACGGGTGCACCTTGCATTCTGTTTCCATGTTGTCTCGAAGTTGCTGCTCTTAGAAGGAGGTCATGCCGAAGCCCTGTGCAAATACGTAATCCATGATTTGTCGGGTCAGTCCGCCTTCTCCGCGAAGCAGTTTTACCGGCCAGCCGGCTCACACCTCACATTCGCCCAAGTAGCCAAGGCGAATGCGGATTTATCCCCCTAATTCACTTCAATTGTCCTACTATCCACTCGGTCCTTGCTGATGACAAGCTGGGGATTTTCATACCGCCTCTAGTCAGCTCAGCTCCTACATCACGAGTCTGTCCTTCTGGGCTCGTTGAACCACTGCCCGTGCTCGCTGTTTCACTGCCCTCATGAAGGATGAAGTGTTACACGGCGCATCAGCAATTGACAGTCGAGTAGTACTCGCCAGGCTCAATCTTGTTTTTTTTTGTCTTCTTTTTTTTGGTACAAATGCCAGCATCATCTAGACATCATGTGAAATGTCAGACTTCACCGACCGCCTGACCTCAGATTGATGGAAGCACTAAAATGACATATCACGTCTCATGGAGGATTCGTTTAACGGGTTACAGGTTCGACACAGAGGACACGCTTCGGATCCAAAGTGGGCTCGGCAGCAGCGTATTTCGATAACTGGTGTAAAATCCAGAATGGTCTTCTTCCTTTCGTCCTTTGCCCTTCGGCCAAGTTGAAACTGCCAGGTTGGCTATTTCTGGGCATCGTATCTGTCAAAGTTGTGATAGAAGCGACAAAAGCTTGGGTTAATCACCGACCAAGCATCATAGTAGTTCAAGGCGAGACGCAATACGTTAACATCGCAGTTGCCTTCCTCAGCACAGGAACGATCGTGCCGAGATGACCTTCTGACACTATGCAAACCTTACATCGTTCTGATATGCCATTCCCGGGGGTCCAAAACCATGTATGCTTCTTCCGCATCGGACTGTTGGAAGTGCCAAATATGCTGTGTTTGTTGATGTTGCTCCGTCTGTGTCGCTGTCTGAGTGAGCACAGGTCGAAAGTGTTGTCGTACTTGTTTGACAAGGTAAGTGTGTACCCTTTATTACTGGGCAGTGTCATCTCACTGATATGCTGCTATATAGGATGCCAGAAATTGGACGGGTGATCACAAGGCAATCGGGTTGTGCAACCAACCGGCTGATACACTGTCGATTTCTGCAATTGTTCTAGAAGACCCGGTCACCATCCCATACTCCGCACTCTCTTCAAGCCATGTGCTTTCGTTTTCGGGGTTCAGAAGTTCGAGGCGATGCGGAGAGGACAAATGATGGGAGGGCGGCAAGATTCCATACACATGTGCCATTTTCGTCCAATTTAGCCAGACGACAGATCAGAGTGTGCCTATGACCCCTCGGCGAGCTCAGGTTCACACCCTCGTCGGCGCTTGTCGACTCGACGCCTCACATCGAGCCTTGACGAAGAAGCCAAGCCCGAAGTTGTCGATGTCGTTGCTGCAATGATCTACCCAGAGTTTTAAAGGTTCGTCTCGGCTTATCGGGTCAAAGGGAGCGGGGAGAGCTCTTGTCTCCTCTTCTGCATCCTCTCCCGATTCAAACACGAATCCTTCAGACACCACTCGATGATGAACCACAAGGGGACAAGGGAGGAAAACCAAAAGGGTCTCCTGCGGCAAGCTTCTGAACTGATTTGTCGGTCGACACCTTCAGGGTGGTTGGCCCTGAAGATGACGTTATTCTCATTCTTTGAAGCATGACGTGCACGCTAGAAACGGCTGCAGCGGACGAAGAGTATCAGTCGGAGTTCAATTCCCAAATCAATGGCTTTTTCTCTGTCTTATCACTGGCCAGCCATAACGCCGTGATGGAGGTGGTGGCATCACGGTAGAAATCCCGTTCATGTCGTGGTTGAAGAAGAGTGGAGTAAGGGAACAGAGCTCGAGCCCGGGCCATGGATGTATTTACCTACGGTGGAGCCCACGTTCATCAAAGCTTCCCTCAACAGAGCCTAGCGGCACTCCGGCAGGCCACTTGTGCCTCTCTTCACCACCTTTGCATCCATATTCCATCCACCTGAATTTTCACCCCCTCATAAAACCCCCACGTTTTGACAACAACTCAATTTTCCTCCCCGCAACCAAATAAGTCGTCTCAATTTTCTTTCAGTTTCTTTGCCTATCTTTTCCTCCCTCTGCCAACCCCACGACGCCAATCAATCAATCAATCCCGATCATGAAGTTGATCATGCTGCTGCTTTCTTGACGATTGCATCGCAGAAAATTTTCATGTCTTGCAGTGGTGCTACCACGGGATTGGCAAGCTACATCGGCCCTCCGGCCTCGCCGTCTACCGAAACACGCAAGCCGCAAGCGACAAAAAGTTGCACGACCATGAGCTAAGCCGCTTGGCTCATTGATTCCCTCTCGCTTCCCCTCTTCCCTTCTACATCCTCCTTTCCATTATGACAGAGTGCAACACCAGGTTCGGCCCATGCGCGGCGTTCACCAAAGTTCATTTAGCCCTCTCCTGCCTCGTCCTCCCCCAAGCCTTGTGACAGACTGCTGGCGATTATCCGTCAAGCTCTGTTCGTAGCTCGTTGTAGCTGAGCTAGGCGCGGGAAGATTGAAGGGGGCAGGCTGAAAGGAGATGTCGAGGTGAGCTGCCGAACATGACATTGCACCTACACGTCAGGACACCTCATCACCTTAGGCGAGGCGCGATGCGGCGAGGGCCGTCAACGCGTTTTGGTACTTCCATCCTTCCCATTCTTTTCCATCCCCCCATCCATCAGCGCGGCTGCGATCATTGATGGTGTTATTGCAAATGTGGTTGTTTACCACATCACCTTGCCATTATGCAAAGTGGCTTACCTACCCTCTACTTTTTTTTTTTTTTTTGCCAAGCAAGGTGTTCGCTTTATGTGTTCATCTACACATCTACGTCTCAACTGGTTGACGTTGATGTCACAAGCTTAATGGCTAGATTGACATATTTCAAACCCAATGCTGGGCGCCCGTGTTGACCGTCTCGTCTTGAGCTTCACATGATATCCGGGAATCAGTGGAGGTTACATTCTAATATTCCAAGCAGTAATGTCTGTTGCTGTATATTTCATGATACTCTTTAGGCGTGTTCGTTACCACAGTAAAAAGTTAGAGGGTATTCAAATTTGCAGGGTTCGGGTCGTAGTAAATATACTAGCTTACTAAACTACGCAGTATTTGGTATTTCTCAGTGAAAATGCTTAATTTCTTGTAACGAACGGCGGTCTGATCTGCCTAAGTGAGATAGCTGAAGGTATAAAGACTATCAGTACTATTCGGTGAAGCTAAAAGGTTTACAATAAGTATACGTACGTAATACTAGTTTCAGTGATAATAATCTAAATTCTCTAGTCGTCCCTTTATACCTTTTCGTCCTACTACGAGTTATATATCTCTAGCTATTTATATAATTGTAAACTCCGTAATCTACATAATATTTACTCTAATATTATAGTTTACTATAAGCCCTAGCTTACCTGTAAGTACTAATTTACTTGTAAATACTAATTTACCTGTAAGCACTAGCTCACTATAAGTACTAGCTTACTAATAAGCTACCTATATTAATAAGCTACCTACTACGCCCTTCTAGGCTTTTCCTTAATTTATAATTATATTAACTATCTATAGGCGGGGCTATTGCATCTTAAAGGTTTAAGTAACCCTAATATTATTTAAATTTATAATATAATACTTCTTCTCCTCAACCAACGTCCTTAATAGCTTTACTAACTACCTATATCCCTTTTCTACCCTTTATCTCTATATTATTCCCTTTACTACCTAAATATAGTAAATCTTCCTTTTCCTTTATATCTATCGCTATATTCAACCATATTATTAAATATTCAACTACATCGTCTATCTAATAGCAGCAATTATTATTTACTATTAAGTCTTTTAATTCTATAATTATATTTTATTAATACTATTCCGATTATAAATTTATTTACAAAAAGCTTTCAAAATGGGAGAAATATAGCGAATATATTCGTAGCGCTCGTCCTTATAAGGAGGTAGACTATAATATAGAGTATAAATATCCAAACTCCCGACTACTAATCGTCTTTATTAACGCTTCTTTAGTAGCGCAAATAATTATAAAAAATAAGAAATTAAAATAGGAGCAAACAGCGCTTATAAAAGCAATACAAAAATATACGCTTCACCTAGCCGTAATTCAATATTAGTAAGAAGAATTAGCTATAAAGGTTCGTAAAGTAATTTAGGCTATAGAGACTAAATTAAATACTTAAAATAAGGAAGAAAGGGCTATCGAAAGGGAGCTTAAACCTCTACCTACAATATTATTATTAAATACTTTTACTTCCGTTATTTCCATACCCGTGGATTAATCGTCCTTAAATACCTCGTCCTTCCCTACCTCCTAATTGGGCAATCCTTTATCCCTAACCGATCCGGATTCCTCCAATAGAATTCCTCCAACTTCTCAAAGCAATTCAAATTCTTAATAGGTTCCCAAATATTATTTTCTAGGCCAAACCCTTCCTACTTAATAAAATATTCCAATTCTCTATTTATTATTTACAATTCCAAAATTTATTCTATATCCTATTCTTCTTCCTCGTCCTTAATACTAACCCTTATATTAATTTATATATTTTTAAATATTAGCTCTAATAATACAACGTAAAAGGAATATAATCTTAATTTTATAGTATTAAGAATATCTAATTAATATACTATATTTGAAATTTTCTTTTTAATTTTGAATAACCCTATTCGTCGGTTATAAAATTTTTTATTTAGCCTCTTTATCCTAAGATTCCTAATAAATAAAAGGACTTTATCCCCCTCCTTAAAATAAAGTCCCTCGAACCTTTTTTTATTAAAATACCAGCTTATCTTTTATTTAACGAATTCTAATTTTCCCTTAAATTTTTTATATAATATATACAATTTCTCGGCCTTAACTAAAGCTCTAGGGACGTTCGTATCTAATTCTTTTAAGAATTCTAATTTATACCCGTAATTTACAAAGAAAGAGGAAACCTTTATAGTCTCCGTAGGGGAAATATTATATACCAATTATATTACTAGTAGTAATTCTACCTAATTATTTTACTCGAAGTTAATATAGTTCTTTAAATATTACTCTATAATTTAATAAATCCTTTCCATTTAATTATTTATTTATAAATAATATACTATTAATATTTTATTCTTAGTACCGAGCGTAATTATTAATACCTATTAAAATTTAAATATAAATTTAGTATCCCTATTTATAATCTATTCCTTTAACCAACCATATACCGAAGTAACGTTCTAATAGATTATATTCACAAATTGCTCCGCTAATTATATTTCCCTATATAATAAAAGATAATTCTATTTAATTAACTTATTTACTATTACTAAAATACTTTTATAAATAACTTCTATGATATTATTTATAAATAATAGTAATTTAATAATAAAATTTATAATTACTAAATTCTATAGCCTTTCTACAATTTCTAAGGGCTCGAAAAATCTATATAACTTATATCTTACAACCCTAATTTTACTATAATACTTACAAGCCTACAATATTCGAGCTACTTTAGTTTTTATTCTTAAAAAGTCGTAGTACTATTGTATTTGTACTATAATTTTAGTAATACCTATATATCCTCCTATTTTAGACGTATATATCCCTATAATAAGTATTTTGTATTATTCGGGCTAAACGTAGGCCTTATTATAGTACTATAATTTATTATTCTAAAGGACGATTCTTTTTTCTATACTATCTTCCTATCGCTATCGCTCTTCCGAAGTTGCAATAGTAGTTTAATAATTAGGGTTATATAATTTAACCCTATAAATAGTATAGTATTCTATTTATTCTTATAAAGGGTATACAAATATTCTATTTAATTATTCCTAAAATAATAGTATAAAAGCTTTTACTACGTCTTTTATATAATCTACCCAACGGTTTAAAGTATTAGTTTAAGCGTTTTTAAAACCCTTTTTATAATTAATTTTAAAGTTAAATTCTAATAAGAATTCAGCCTATTACATTTAGCAGCTATTAAGTACCTTCGTAGTTGTAAAATACCGAAGATTATTATAGTTAATATAGATTTATACTTCGTATATAATTCTATTAAAGTCTAATTTCGATTTTTGAAATACTTTAATAATAATTAGGAGTTCCTTATTATAAATAGGGTAATTACAATAGGGTTCTTCTAATTTCTTTAAAAAAAAATTACAAAATGCAATTTTCTTTAATTATTACGCTATTCTAATTATCCTCTAATAGTATAATTTAATATATTGGTTTCGATTTTAAAGAGTTTATTCGGATTAAGAAATTTTAATACGGGGTTTACGGTAATTATATTACAAATAACCCTAAAAGCTTCCTCTTCCATTTTTCCCTATATTAAAACGGCCTTCTTCCTAGTAAGTTCGTATAATAGTTTAGTAATTTTTTTATAATTTTATATAAATATTTAATAAAAATTAGTAAATCCTAAGAATCTACAAACTTTAATCGCATTCCTAAGTATAAGCTAATTCCGTATAATCTCTACCTTACTTACTTCTATTCTAACTTTATTTTTTAAAATTAAATACCTAAAAAATATAGTCTCTTTTATATAGAATTTGCTTTTCTCTATATTAATAGAGAATTTATATTTATATAGTACGTTTAATATTTTCCATATATATTCCTTATATTCTACGAGAGTTTTGGAATAAATAAAAATATTATTTAGGTAGCAAATAGTAAATTTATTAAAGTAGGGTCGAATTATATAATTAATAACGGATTAGAATATTGTAAGTATATTAATTAACCCGAAGGGTATAATAAAATATTTGTAATATCTATGGGGTATATAAAATACTATCTTCTATTCGTCTCCTTCCTTAATTTAAATATAGGTATAAATAATAAGTAGATTAAAGTGCGTAAAATATCGTACTCCTCCTAATTAACTTCGAATATATAAAATTAAAAGTAAGAAATAATTATTTTTTATAATCTCCTAATTTAATTGCTTATAATCAATATAAAAATGTAATTTTCCATCCTTTTTTAATATAAAGAGGATAGGGTACCCTACTAGCGATATAAATTTTTAAATATATTTTTATTTTAAATTTTCATTTAAGTATTTTCTTAATTTTATATTTTACTTTTTATTAGTATAATATACTTTAAAGAACTTAAACTTAGCTCCTTCCTTAAATTTAATTTTATAGTTCTATAATTCTTATAATAGTAATCCTTTAAGGTACTTATTAATAAAAGCTGAATATCCTTAGTATTTTACTAGAATTACTATTTTCGGCTTCTCCGTTTATTAGTTCTAATAATAGTCGAATTTATATTGAATATTAATTACTAATACCTTTACTAACGTTACTAACCCTTCTTCTATAACTTTACTACTTTTATTAATAATATAAATTATAATTTCTTATACTATTTATAGTAGGGCTATAGGAATAGCGCCTTTATAGCTCGCTTCCTTCCATACTCTAGTTTTTCTATTAGTAATTAAATATATCCTAAAATATAAACGGCTACCTTCCTTCCAATTAATATTTAGGTCATATATAATATATTATAAATACCCTAGGGTTATATCTTTAAATAGCCCTATTTTAATAATATTAAAATTAACTTCAACCGTCTTACTTTCTACTATAATAGGGAGTAGTAACGTTTCCCGTTTTATAATTTATATTTTAAAAAATCCTTTTTTTACAAAGGAAACCTTTTTCCTTTTCTAAGGAATCCTTAATTAAATAACGAACTTTAGTAAAATAAAATTTAATTAAACTTTAGAATCTATTAATATAAAAACCTAATAATCCTTCTGATAAATTACAACTTTAAATCGCTAATCCTTTTTCCCTTCTTCTATAATAGTAGCCTCTATAAATACTATAGGATTTTAAACCTTATCTTTCCAATGGCTATATTATTAAATAATCCGTTTTATATAAGGATTTAATTTTCGCTAGGCCTCTTTAAAGGCTTTAAGCTATTTCTTAATACTTAGTAATAATTATCAAGAGCGTCCTCTTCCTTAGGTTTAAATTCGTTTAGCGAATTATATTCTTATAACTATACTATATATATAACTTCTTTTTTATCCTTATACTCAATTATTCTAATACTATAAAAATAATTATCAAATTCCCTCTTAATATTCTAAGCTTTCTACTTTATATAGATAGGGTAATCGGATATCGGATACTACTACTACTAAAGATTTAATTCTCCCTATCTTAGGTAGGTATAAATATTATAGGGGCGTACAATAAACCTCTTAGGTATTAAATAATTATTTACTTATATAAAGGAGTATAAATTAAAAGCGAATTATTTATTTATAATAAGGGCGGCTTATAAGTCTCTTCGGTTAAAGGTATATATAACCGGTTTAAATTATTCTTACTGGTTAAATTTTTAAGTAAGCTATAAATAATTATTCCGCTTTTTTATATAGTATTTATAATAATTATAAATAATATATTGGAATTATAGTATCTAATAATAAACAAAATAAAGGGAATACATTTAAACTATATTTTCTTTAATTAATTAATATATTCCTAAAATTTTTAAAAGTCCTTCCTAAGTAGCTTAAGGCTCCCCTTTAATAATAATTATATACTTCTTCTAAAAATTATCCAACAATTTATTCTTCCTGCTCTTATTTAGGTAGAATTATAACGGCTCCATCCAATATCCTTTAATAAAATAGTTAGAGCGGCCGTATTAATATAAATTAATAAACTTACAAATATTAAATTCTTTAATTATAAATATTAGGGGCGGAAGTAGGGGTAAAATAATATTTATTATATATATAGCCGTAAGGAGAATTTAATTAGTATTAGAAAGGTAACTAATTTCTTCCTATATTAGGGTTTAGTATGCCTATATTTAAAATATATTAGTATTCCGCACCTCCTCTTTAGGATTTTCCTTATTAGGCCTCTCCTACTTATATTTATCGTTAGCCTTCTATTATACTTTCTAATCAAAGTTTATAACTCTATTTATAGTATTTTCTAAATTGTTTTAACCGTATTTAGTGCTAGTAATCTTAATTATCCTAGCTCCTTCTACTATAGTAGTTTCCATTTTCTTCTAATTTAATTATTTAGACGTACGGTAATCTTTCTTTATATACCTAATTTTACTATAATTAAAATATTTAACTTTTAAAAAATCTTATTTACCTTAATTAATTTAAACTATATTAATTTCTATAAGTCTAATATAAATAATTCTAGAAAGGTAAGTTCCCTATATTCTTTTCTTTTTAGTATTAGTATTAAATTTAAAAGGAATAAAGGTAATTACTTTCCCTTTCTTTTCCTACTCCCACTAGAATAATCGATTATTAATATAGATAGTTTTATTAATATAAATATTAATAGTCTCGGAATAGTCTTCTTTATAAAGTTCGTCTTTAATTCTTTCCTTAAAACTATTATAAAATAGTTATATTAACCTATTATTATTAATATTACTATAGAAGGCATCCTATTTAAAAAGTATAGCGTAGGCTAAAGTAGATTTAATTTATTAAAAATAGGTTAAATATTTCTAAACCCTACGAATTTTATTTTTTTCTCTAAAGATTTAGGAGAGGGCCTAAGTAAATTCCTTATAGAAACCTAAAATTTTTTTAGTAAAATCCAAAGCCTAATCTCTATTCTTATAGTAATCTTTAAAAATAGGTCTATACTAAGTAAAAGCTTAATTTATAAATTGAATACCCATATAAACTATCTTTTCAAATTCAAAGGTAAACTAATCTCTATAGAAATTGAAGTAGGTATATATTTAAATTAAGAATCTCGTAAGGGTAGCCTATTAGCTATCGAATTCTTTAAGTACGGATAATTTAATCCTGAGTCTATCGACGGAAGTAATTCCTTTTCCTACTTTCGCTTCGGGGGTATTAGGTTTAGCCTTAAATTAAGCTTCGAATTAGAAAATACATTCCTATATAGCTTTAAACTACTATTAAAAGATAGTGAAATTCAAGGGCTTACCCGAAGTATTATCGTTATTAATTCCGGCGGTAGATATAATAAAGCGAAGAGATACTTTTAATTAATATTTAAAATAAATTAAAAGAAATAGTCAACGTATAACGAACGGTAGTCTAATCTACCTAAGTAAAATAATTAAAAGTATAAAAATTATTAATATTATTTAATAAAGCTAAAAGGTTTATAATAAATATACGTATATAATACTAATTTTAATAATAATAATCTATTATACAATTAACTACTATCAAACTATTTAACAATCTAAATTCTCTAATCGTCCCTTTATACCTTCTCGTCCTACTACGAATTATATATTTCTAACCGTCTATATAATTATAAATTCCGTAATCTATATAATACTTACTCTAGTATTGTAGCTTACCGTAAGCCCTGGCTCACTTGTAAGTACTGGCTCACCCGTAAGTACTGGCTCACTATGAGCATTAGTTCACTAGTGAGCTACTCGCATTAGTAAGCTACCTACTGCGCCCTTCCGGGCCTTTCCCTAACTTGTAGTTATACTGGCTATCTATAAGCGGGGCTATCGCGTCCCGAGGGTCTGAGTAGCCCTAGTGTCGCTTAAGTTTGTAATATTTCTATATAAGTTGCTACAATTACTTGCAACTATCTATACTTTTTCTAAATCGTTGATTTAACTAATTAGAGGGCTAGAATCTTCTTAAATTTCAACTGTTTTCCTTACTATACTACGGCTCAAAATTTAACCGTAGTATAGTAAGGATCATAGTGAGGAAGTACTTATAGCGCTTTACTCCTATAATATAGGGGGTCGCCGTCGCAAACCAAAAATTTTTTTTTTCTTAAAGATAATAAATGAGGCTATTTCCAATTGAAAGCTGCTATTTGGACTAGACAGTTATTTACACAGTGTATATACTGTGGTTGTTGTAGAAGGGAAGAATTGAAAAGATAATAATGGGGGTAGCTTCAGTTATATATACCGAACACAGCTCAGTAAGAGAAGTGGTCTTGGCGTGCCTTAACCTTGCATTACTGTGCAGGTGTGCAGCTGTAGAATCTGCACAGTAATGCAATATCAGGGCTAACTTTTTACTGTGGTAACGAACACGCCTTTTGTTCTCCAGGGGAAGTTGATGAGAGGCACATCACTCGCCGGTGTTGAGGTAGATGTTCGCCGACTGCTGCCTTTCATGGTTCGTCAACGGGGCAAAGGGGAAAGGTAGTCAGCATCATTAACTACTCAATCGATTGTGAGCTGCGGTGGTGTGTCCTGCACATTTGTCTCCCTGTTCATAACACTTCTTTCTCCCCTCCCCCATGTAAATGTGCAGGATTCTATTTTCTTCCTGCCCATTGTGAAGGTAACGGGGTCGTATCGGTATCGGTGCTGCTGGTGACAATTGAGATAAGCTACCGAGAAATCGCCCGTGGGTTGTTCCATTTGGCCTTTCAATGGTTACATCTGTTTTATCTACCTCTGTGCTGTCCCAACTACACACCCTTTCAGTTGCACTACCCACACCATTCCCAGCTATGCTTTTCGTAGACGTCATGCAACATGCTGAATGTTCTGGAAGTCATTGTTCCCGGAACGCATGTACCCTCCACAGGCACCACACCTCCCATCCAGCCCATCTAGCCCCTTTCCCATCAATCGAAGAACCCACTACCATTATCTTACACTTCGAGAGGCTCGGCTTGCCGAGTTCATGTTGGACGGACATTGCGCCGTGTGTACCCGTCCCGCACTCGCCATGCTACGCCTGCCACGCCCGCATGTTGTGCGTGCGCCTACCAATGTTCTGTCTCTGTGTCACGCCATTTTCATTGTCATGGAGGGACGGATGTTGACTTATCGGGACGGGACCGGATGGGCGGCACATGCCTCACCTACCTCACCGCGCTCGTTCGGCATTGGTAGACGATTAGGACGGCTGGCGGCTTGTTTGTATTTGGACCGGTCGGAACTAAACTAGAAGACATCGCTGAGAGGCTAGAGTGGGTACATCACAAACTATCACGCAAGCCTCAAGTGAGGTTTAAATTAAGTTTCATCGCAATTCTCATAGTCCTCTCTCGTTACCTTACCACAGCTAGCGTCTTAATGTCAACACCGTATTGCCAATGCCCGCCGATACCCGGCCGGTGGCCGGTTGGGTAGATAGCCATGCCTTGCGGTCCACGTCCATCTACCCAAAAGACGGTTATACACCGCAGCTTCTCTTTTTTGAAGTATAGGAAGATGGAGACACAAACCCAATCTTCTCTCGGAGTTCGGCAATCCTTCATCTACTACTAAATACCGAACAGCAATACGTTGTGTCACTTCCGGTGCCGGCGGCGCCAGTTCCGGTCTCCGGAGCTCTCTCTTTACCGTCGTTGCGGTGTAGTGCGGTGCGGTGCGGCCGAACTCAGATTCAGGTGAGAGATGGGAACAGTCCGATCCCCAACCTGTCTGCCCGATCATCATACGCCAAATTGGCATGGGGCGATCGTCATTTTTGGGGGGGATCTGAGTATAGGGCGATAGTAGGACTGCCGGCAAAAGGCATGCATGGTACACGGGTATGGCATGGACGACAGGTTGTGGTTGTGTTGTGGGATGTGGGTTACGCTGAGTAAGGCTTTGAGGAAAAGAAGAAACGGGGGAGGGGGGCACGGCGTTCTGTTACACCTTGAGTTACCGTTCTCTGGATGCAAAGGGCAGAGAAAGGTTACAGATAGGGACACAAAAACAAACCGGGTTTCTAGAACTCGTGGTGGTGTTGAGCGTATGGGAGGTTACCAGACGGGACTGGGAGGAGATACAAGCGCGGTTCCTATGTCTCCCTCCCTGTGTTTGTCAACAACATTCAATAACCGTCTCTGCTGTTAGGAGTCTGGTTGTCCATTGAGCAACGGACGGATAGGAAAAGGAAGAGTAGCACGTATATCCGCTGTTTATGGTCTGTTTACTTTGATTTCATTGCCTCCTCAGTGTATATCCACATCCCACTTGCCCTCTGTCCTATCTCAATTACACTGCGACTGACACACGGCGTTGCCGTACTTCCTTTTTGGACCCCTTTTTGTTCCAGTTCGGTTGGCTTGCCGACTTGTGAGACGTGAGGCATGGATAGGACCTCCACAATTGTCAGCTCAGGTTTCATCATAGAACACATTGCACGCATCTTTGGTCTTGATGTTACTGACCAGTCATAAACAATAGATGTATTTTCCATTGAGTCTTTGTTTTGGATCCACTTCATACCGATACTTTTCCATAGGTAGGTATCCATGGTTGATTGCGACGTCCGTTTCAGGATCAAAAGTTCCCATCTGCTCAAGATCGGTGTGACGAATATCAGACAGGTAGTGTAGTAGGTATGCATGTAGACAGCAGAAACACCTACCATCGATATAGCTCCTCAAGTTTACGCAATCTTCGTGACCTTGCAACTGAAGTTCAAGTCTCATTCGTAGGGAGATTGATCAAGTCATGCTTGGACTCTCCATTGTGGTAACCCCTTTGGTAAGTGTGAAGAGAAGATAACATGCAAAGCTTCAATATCTAGGTACTTCGAAGCATCCCAAACATTCCTGGGAGATCACCAACCCTGTCTCAGATCTGCCGTACCCTGTATGATATAAAGTGAAGTAGGCGCACCACAGCAGACGGTTAGAACTTTATAGCATGTCAAGCGGAAATGACACCTGGGTATGTCTTAGACAGAGTCTATGAGACCACTTTAGGCTGTTGCTCTAGGCGGTCAGGAATGATTCCGAGATCAACAACGAGGACAAGGACGACCGAAGCAGAGCCGCCTTCGACACCTGTTCATCCACCACAGCGGTGGATAACCGGTCTGAATGCTATGGTAACATCCAAAAGCAGACAGACCTACCACTCGGTCGCTGTATTTTCGTTGCTAAAACAAGCCTCACAGTCCTCGCAACATTAGCTTTCGTCAAAGTCCCTAAATATTTTAAAGAATAACTCGTCGTTTGTCTCCGTCAAAGTAACTCTTGGTCTCGGGTCGCGACCCGACGTTCCGGTATACGTAATCCGGGGAAGTGAGTGGGTTGCCATGCTGATGATTACTTGCATGACTTCCATGTCGCGGATCCGCGGGATATGCATGCTGTAAGGAACAGGAAAGCTTCGTCGTATGATGTAGCTTGGAGCCGTGGCCGAAAGATAAAAAGGGCATGAGACCCATACTGTAAAAGGCAACAGTGTGACGTTTGTTGAAAGTGGAAGGTTGAAAACTGCGTGTGATTGTGCATGTGCTGGATGGAGGAGGTTGCCGACCAGTGGTGAACATTGGACGCGATGCCGTCCCATGCTGTGAGGGTTAGGTGTGGGGAAAATGGTGTGCTGTTAAACCAGGGTTAGACCAGGGTGCTCTCCGGGGTTAACTGTGGGATGGTGTACCTGCCAAGCAAAAATGTGGTGCCCAAACTCCGCTTTCGCAGCTGCCGTCTTCTCCGCACAATGACAGTTGCCGATGGTGTCATTGAAGACCAACGACAAACAAATGCCCGCTGAGCCGAGGTCAGACTGCTCGTCACCGTTCACACCAACACCATCATCCGCCGTAAGAGCCAAACATTGCCGGCAACTGATCAGCAGGAAGTGGGATTGAGATATCAATTGACTCCAGGCGGTTGAGAATTCCAAGTTCAGTTACCAAGCATCTTGAAGAGAGCAGACGCCAAGACCCCTGTAGATAGCTTCAGTCTCTCGTTCCTCCAGAGTTGCTGCCTTCAGTTTCATAACCGCCATCATGCCCGAAACTATTAAGCAATATCCTGACCCGGACAAGTAGGTGTAGTTGTCGAAACTCTCATTACCGAACTTCAAACTGACAATCATGCAGACCCGTCCACATTGTCTTTGTAGGAGCTGGTGCCGTCGGTTGTTTCTATGCCTCGAGGCTGCATCACGTAGGTTCCTCCCTATTTGTTTACTTTATTTCTGATAAGTCAAGGGTGAAGCGAAGACAAAAATGGCCTGGTTTCTCATCATCCATCCTGACTCATCCTTCGTCCCCATTGTCCAGAGCATATATAAGGTACTGACACCTCTACCAGCCCTCCAAAAACATCCACGTCTCCCTTATCGCCCGTTCCAATTACAAAGCCCTCCTAGACAACGGCGTCAAACTCCAAACCCACTCCTTCGGCGACTACACCTTCACCCCTCACGCCGTCTTCCCCAACGTCGCCGCCGCCGCCTCCGCTCCTGTTCAACAATGGGACTACGTCGTCGTAACCACCAAAGCCCTTCCGGACCGCGGTGACGACTCGGCGCTCATCGCCCCACTCATCGGTCCCAACTCGTGCATCGTCCTGATCCAAAACGGCGTCGGCGTCGAAGCACCGTACCGCACCCGTTTTCCTTCGACGCCCATCATCAGCGCCGTCACCGTCGTTTCCGCCGAACAAATCAGTCAGGGAGTCATCCGACAGAACCGATGGACGCGCATCCATCTTGGTCCGTACTCCAACTCGGCTAGCTTTGATTCTAGCACGCCTATCACCAAAGACCGTGATGAAGCACCCCCTTCTGCCACTACCACTCCCAAAGTTGAATCGACAGGCGATCTAACACCCACCGGCTCCCCCCCTTCTCCTTCCCCCTCTTCATCCGCGCCATCTCACCACAAACTCACCGATTCCGACCTCGCCCTCCAACAAAGGGGTTACGATTTGGCAGCCCGCCTGACCTCTTACCTCGTCCACTTGGGTTCAGTCCGCGACGCCCATCTCTCTTCCGAATCTCACCTCCAGCTCATCCGGTGGCACAAACTCTGCATCAACGCCGCCTTCAACCCGTGCTCCGTCTTATCCGGTGGTATCGGCAACGCCGACATGGTTCGGGACCCTGAACTCCGCCTCTTCTTGTCAGCCATTATGTACGAAATCTGGGATGCTGCCCCTTTGATCTTGGGTCTGCCCAAGGGAGAAGGGTTCGAAAAGGATCCCAAGGGGTTCGCGACGCCGGAGAAGATTCTAAAGTCAACGGAGAGAAATGTGGGTTCCAAGCCGAGTATGTTGTTGGATTGGGAGGCGGGAAGGCCGTTGGAGTTGGAGGTTATTGTGGGAAATCCGGTGAGGATTGCGAGGGGACGGGGGGTGGAGATGCCGAGGTTGCAAGGGGTTTATGCGTTGTTGAGGAGTATGCAGAGTGTTAGGGAGAGAAGGAAGAGGGAGGGGAAGTTGTAGATGGAGGTTGGAGGGAGAAGGTCGGGAGATGGGCAATGAAAGGTGGTTGTTGCTTGGTGAATTGAACGAGCGAGCGAGCGTTGTCGCGGTTCCTTTTGGGGGGGGAGATGCTTTAGGTTATTGGTGTGAGAAGGCTAGATGGTGACATGTTGAGACTGGCAGCTCACAGTATCATCAGGATAGAAGATGGAGTAGTAATGAAAGATGTTGATCAGCACCATCACTGCACGAAAATGAGATTGAATCTTGAAAGCGACTCGAGTGAGCATGGCAAACGGCACACTCATCGTGATAACTGACATCTTCCACTTTACAAAGGCCATCCATTGTTCATAAGAGCTTCGCCATCAAAAATTTCCTACATGGACGACAGGAGTCCTGCTCCATCCAGACCAGACACATCTATAACATGAAAGAACCTACCGTTTTTTCATTGACACTTTGATGGCATACTCATCGTTAACATGAGCGCATCTGGTGTGACTGGAGGTATTCATCACTTTGATGACAAACGAAAACCGTGAAAGAGCAAACGTTATGCCGGCATTCACACGCCCGTGCCAGTGTGCTGTGCCCCATCCTATGTAGAATATGCCCTAATCGAATTGCGGCACGCCCGTCATTATCTCCGTCTCCTCCGTTGTTACTTCGTGAATAACGTCACCAACCCAGTCGACTTGACGCAAGGGATCGTAAGATCGGGACTTCGGTGGCCCATAATTACCAATCCAGCCGTGTCTGTGGGGTTTTTTGAAATCTGAGACGAAGCTCCTTATGAGGGAGTCAAGTAAAACGTGATCGCCTGTGGGTTTGGAAACATATGAAGAGGTGAGAGAGGCGGAGATCTGGCTGCTGTGATGTGACTTCTTGGGGGTTAAGCGAGGAGGCAAACGGGCACATGCTGATAGTTGACAAGCCGAGAGGCGAAGGGAGTATACATGGTACGTAAATGATACAAGTAGTGTATGCTGAGCAGGGTACGAGGTGCGTGATGCGGAAGATGCCGTCGAGGATATTGCTAGCGGAAGGGATTCGGAAGAATGGTGGAACTAAGTAGTTGGCGATGGTAGTGTACACCACTGTAAGCGTTCATAGCTGGAATCCCGTTGGCGCACTACATTCTTCGAATGCGTTGGTATTCCACAATAGTGTGGAATCGGGTGTAGTTTGATCATCCGCGACAGTCGTCAGATCCTGATTCGCAGTCTGGACTACGATACACTAGTAGCGAGCTGACGGCATGAGTTGCTGTCTGCAGGGGTGTTCCCACGTTGGCACCAATGTGCACTTGTGCGCTCAGGGTCCTACCCATGCGTGTTGAACGGTTACTCGTCAGGTCGATAGAACCGAGCGTTCAACTAGTGGCGGGACTTGACGAGTAATCGGCTCCCGAGGGACCTTTCCTCTCATTGTCGCGTTCCCTGCTACTTGTATGTCCTTGAAAACAGGGACATCGGGGCTGTGGATGTCCAACCTGACGGACCCAGGCTGTGCCAGGAACAGACACAAGTGGGAATAACAGGAAATGCCCGTCGGACCCTCGTCAGAGTGCATACGCGGTAGTGGTACCCCTACGCAGTCCGCACCGGGCCCTCCCCCGGGGCTTTCGCTACTTAGTAACAGCTGACCCTGGACTGACTCCGTGTAACACCGGCCCGTTGCGCCCCTTGAACTTCGCGGGACAAGGATGACGTCATGTCACAAGCCCAGGGCAAAACGTCGCTATTTACTGTGTAGTAGTCTAAGCGTAGAGAGATTGATGACCTCATAAAAGCGCCTGCTAAAAATGTCCTGCAGTCTCGTGGTAGTGTACACTACGTGCACCTTTGCCGGAGAAAGAAAAGTTACCCGAGTGTCATACACCACTTCCAGCCTACAGAAAACTAGGATTTCTTGCCGTTATGAGTGCTAGTCTTCTGTAGAGAGACTTGTCTTTTTGCCACTGATCTACACTGGTAACGCCTAATGGAGATTTAGGGTAGAGTTTTTGCTTTGTGTTTCGGATTTTAGTGGTACACAGTGGTCCCTTTGAAGCGACAGTTATAGCGCAGACAGGGAGCCTATTAGTGAATGAAATGGAAGAAATTTAATTCTGCTCGAGGTCTTGTGAGAGATGATCAATTTGGGGCGGAAAAAAAACAACAGGTACCTATGGTTGGGGTGGGGTTTTGTGTACGCTACAGCCGTTCGCCGGCGAGCTGCCTCGATTACCTAGGTACGTAGGGTACCTTTCATCCGCAGTGCCCTGGACAATGGATGGTTCCCCCGGCCCTTTCAGGAACGGAAAATCACTAGTCTAGTGTACTAGTGAATGTAGAAATATTGGAACCTCAAAGAGTCCAAGCAGAAGCCGGGTCCTGACTTGAGCACATGTGCTATCGAGGAAGGAGTCGCTTGCCCGAGTGTGGCTGAACAGCTTCAATCAATTACTACGCGCCAGCGGACTGTGGCGGTGACAACGCCGAGTGGCAAATCGAACATGTGCCTGTACATCATTGCCGTTAACATCAATCAGCAACTCGTTTGCCCTATGAACCAGTCAATTGGACAAGAATCTGGAACTCTCGATCGTCGATAAGCCCCAGAAACTCGGTTCGTTCCATACCGGACTCCAATAAGTACACTAGGTAGGTAGTGTAGTCTACTTACCTAGGTAGGAAACTAACTAACTTACAGGTGACGGGGGTGGCGGTTACCCAAGTCGGGTCAACATCGGCCCCGGTCGTCCGATGGATGGATGGCCTTTTGCCGCGCGTCTTGGCAACATCGCTGCCACAAAAAAATGAAGCGTACGATGGCGGGTTGGACAGCAGATTCACTCTCCCGAATGGAACCCAAAGTGTGGTTTCAGTTATGCTGGCAAGGCTGGATAGGTAGGTACACTAGGAGTGATATTCACAGACAACAACAACATCAGAGACCGGGTATACAATACAGCAGTAGCAGAGGTGAGTCGAGGTGGACAATTGGCAGCTCAACCTGAACTCAACTACACTAGGTCGATTCTTTTCTTCTTTGGCTCTCAGCTACCAACTCAGACGGGCGGGCTTGGCCGTCCATCATCTCTCTGAGACTGTCTCATCTGTCTAGGTACCCAAACTAAAACCTTTCCTCCTTTTCAGGGTCGTACACCTACCTATGGTTTGGGCTCAGCTGTGTGTTGTACCGAAACACGACCGTGTACACTACTACTCTACACAAGGTTCTGGTGGTGCGCTTTCATTGTCGCATTGCACGCTACACCTCACTACACTTTCATCCATTGACCGGCACCATTGTCTGTACATTTTATTCGCTGTTTGCCTCTCCTTGGTCGCCACGTTGTCGCACCCTACCTACCCTACCCTACCCAAGGTCGGTACCTACCTCTAGCGCTGTACGCGCACGCTGGCCAGGACTCTTGCTCCCTGGAATGGCGGGCTGTGACCACCAAGACAGCCGCAACAGAAATCCCATGTTGATCAAGCAGCCAGACAGATGGGCTTTTCCTAGATCTGCATGCCTCCATCCGTCCTCCACACAATTGATCGCCCCCCCCTCCAGCTCCGGTTTAGACTGCCTTGCTAGACCGGCATACTCCCATCACTCACCCACTCCGTCCAACTTTCCCGGAACACACCTCGCCGGCCTGTCCCACGTTCGCCCTTGACCACCATTCAGCCCCGTGAGACAAAGTGGAAATTGTGGATGCGACGCCCCAGGAACATCCTCCTCGAGGACCCTCGACTTCTCCTCCTCCGGCTGCATTCTGTTCCGTATCGCCCGTCTAGACTCTTGCCGCCGCTCTCTTTCCACTTCTAACTTGACCCTATTGCGACCACAGTAGCTACAGCTACCTCGTCTGCTCATCCTAGTCTGCTTTTTTCGCCGCTACGGTGCCGCTACGGCACTTACATCCATCTCTCTCTACACTACACTACCCTCTCTCTCGTCTAGTGTACACTATCTTTTCTTGCGCCCCTCCCCTCCATCTCAAATTCCCTTGTGATTCACCACCTGGCTGGCACTCCTTGGCCGTTATAGCTCACAGTCGGAGTTTTGATCCTGACCCTCTCCGGAGTGACCCTGGCCCTGAGTCGAACTCTCTACTTTTTTTAACCTACACTATCGAGCTACCTACCTCTTACGCACCGCGGATCCGTGCTCATTCCCAGGCCCTGAGGTGTGTTCTGTCTTTCCTCTGTCTCAGGTGGTGGTGTTCCCCAGTGCCTCGCAGGACATACCATTCTGCATCGACTTGTACCAAGCATTCATTCTCTTAGACCTTGCGAGTCCGTTTGGGCGCTAATATATGCGCTTTGCGCCCAAAGTGAAGAGATCGCCCCCATCACGACTCTCCTTCCAGATCGATACGAGGGACATTTAAGGGAACAGCCAGAAAGTTTCACAGAAGAAAAAAAAAAAAAACAAGAGTTTCAGCCTTCAACTCCGGTCTGGATATCACACAGCTTCCTAAACAACACATTTACACGACCAGCGCAAAACGACGTCACACGCGGATGCCATATTGACAGCCTGACTGCGAGAGGTCACAAGCTTGGAGGGACCCAACATCACAAAGAGACCCCCGGGTCTCGGGGACACGGAGTTGGCTTCGGCAGGCACAGGCACCGGCACAAGCACAGGCATAGGTACAGGCGCAGGTACAGGACACGGCGACCGGCATGGACCACACTCAAGACACAACCCCGACTGCCGAGGGTCATGGTCAACTAGGAAACAGCTACCAGATCCCCGACCAACAGGCCGCAAACAACATCAAAGTCCAGGACTACATCGACAACACTGCCTTGGCAACGGACCTCCATGCCAATGATGCCTCCAACAGCTCAGCGACTGCCGATGGCGGCTCCTCGGCGATTACTTCTCCGACCAACCTGTCATCATGGAGCGCATCCTCAGATCGACAACTAGGCCACGGAAGCGTACAAGACCCCGAAGACCGCGTCTTTCCTATTCGTTCCGTCATTAGCGTCGACCTAGCCGCCACACCACCAGTCAACGATGACATTCGCGCGCGTCGTAGAATTTCTCTGTCCGAGGGTTATGGGACTTCAGTAGGCGGAAGGTCGACCGCCGCGGCAGGCGCCGGGAATACCGCGACTCCCACTCGTCCGCATGCGTCGACCGTTCCGACTGCCAAATCAGGCGCCATCGACGTCGAAAGTAGGCCCACAGTCAGTCAGAGTCAGTCATCTGTCTCACAAGCTGATGGCAGCTCCGTTTTCAGTTCATCGTCCGCGGGCACTATGCGACACAAGCGCCGCATGAATGCCATGACAGGTTCCCTGTCCAGTGTCCAGGCCGATGCCGATAGATATGGAAAAGGACGACCTATAGAAATTGTCTTGGGCGATTCGTCCGAGGAAGAATCCGATGGCGGCGTAGACGGCAGCGGAGACGGCGGTGACCTGGGTACGATTGGGGCATCTTCGTCTTCTGGCAGGGAGTCTCCTGACGCTCTTCCTGAAACTCATTTTGCGCCTCGCTTCAAGCATATCGTGACCAATGAGGGCCATGCTGTGATTACAGGTCGTGACGGGCAGCTACAACGGTGCGAAGATGAACCAATTCGTTAGTTCCCTCTCTCTATATTCTCAACGCTCATCACCAATGCTAATCATGGGACAGATACGCCGGGCGCTGTACAGGGCTTCGGATTAATGGTTGTTATCCAGGAAGAACGAGACGGCCGCTTCATTGTGCGATTCGTGAGCGAAAACTCCAAGAGAATCATTGGCTACACCCCGCAAGAGCTCTTCCGAATGAACAACTTTCTCGACATCTTCACTGATGAACAGTCTGAGAATCTACTGGACCATATCGATTTCATTAGGGATGAGGACTCGGATCCGGCCATCAACGGCCCCGAGGTTTTTAGTCTCTCCATCCGACTCCCCAAAGCCAAAACTTCCGTCAGGCTATGGTGCGCAATCCATGTACACCCGTCATGCCCGGAACTGACTATCTGCGAGTTTGAACTCGACGACGACCACGATTACCCTTTGCGACCTCCTGAGGAGGACTATCCAGACATTCCCGAAGATACTTTACAATCGAATCCTACAACCGAAGAGCTCACTGAAAGCACAGCGATTTCGAGCAAGCCATTACGAGTCTTACGCAGTGCGCGTAGGCGAAGAGGCGAGGCAGGGGCAATGCAAGTGTTTGATATTATGAGCCAAGTACAGGAACAGCTGGCAAACGCTCCCAATCTGGAAAAGTTTCTCAAGATCTTGGTCGGCATTGTTAAGGAGTTGACGGGCTTCCACCGGGTCATGATTTACCAGTTTGATTCCTCGTTCAACGGCAAGGTCGTCACTGAGCTTGTCGATCCGATGCAAACAAGGGATTTGTACAAGGGACTGCACTTCCCGGCCACGGACATACCCAGCCAGGCGCGCGAGCTTTACAAGCTCAACAAGGTACGATTACTGTACGATCGAGATGTCGAGAGCGCACGAATCGTTTGCCGAACGCCCGAAGATTTGGAGACCCCGTTGGACATGACGCACTCTTACCTTCGTGCAATGTCGCCAATCCACTTGAAGTATCTTGCTAACATGGCAGTGCGCTCTTCCATGTCCATCTCGATCAACGCCTTTGGCGACCTTTGGGGTCTGGTTTCGTGCCATTCCTACGGGCCCAAGGGGATGAGAGTCTCGTTTCCTATACGAAAAATGTGCCGGCTTATTGGCGACACCGCCTCAAGAAACATAGAGCGTTTATCGTATGCTTCTCGTCTTCAAGCCCGCAAGCTTATCAACACAGTACCCACCGACAAGAACCCGTCAGGCTATATAATCGCCTCTTCGGACGACTTGCTCAAGCTATTCAATGCCGATTTCGGAATGCTTTCGATACGTGAAGAGACCAAAATTTTGGGAAAGATCGAGCAGTCACAGGAAGCACTGGCTATGCTAGAGTATCTGCGGCTGCGCAAGTTTTCTTCCGTGGTCACCTCGCAAGACATCAAGATCGACTTTCCCGATCTTCGTTACCCACCAGGATTTCAAGTCATCGCCGGCCTTCTCTATGTGCCCTTGAGCGTCGGTGGGAACGACTTTATCGTCCTGTTTCGCAAGGGCCAGGTGAGGGAAGTGAAGTGGGCGGGTAACCCACACGAAAAAACAATCCAAGCTGGTTCTGCCGCATACCTGGAGCCCAGAAAGAGTTTCAAGGTCTGGTACGAGACGGTTATTGGCAAATCTCGCGAATGGTCAGAGGAGGAAGTCGAAACCGCGGCAGTGCTTTGCTTGGTCTATGGAAAGTTTATCGAGGTTTGGAGGCAAAAGGAGGCAGCCCTGCGGAGCAGCCGTCTTACTCGTTTACTACTCGCAAACTCAGCACACGAAGTGCGCACGCCACTCAACGCCATAATCAACTACTTGGAGATTGCACTAGAAGGTTCCCTCGATCAGGAGACCAGGGACAATCTTGCAAGGTCGCATTCAGCCTCAAAGTCCTTGATCTACGTTATCAACGATTTGCTCGATCTGACCAAGACAGAAGAAGGGAAGGATCTAATCAAGGACGAGGTTTTCGATCTGCTTGCGTGTATACGTGAAGCTACGGAGCCTTTCCGGCATGATGCAAAGCGGAAGGGCATCACGTACGAGGTCATTGAGCACCCCGGGCTCCCTCGTTTCGTACATGGAGACCAAAGACGAGTCCGACAGGCGGTCGCCAACGTCACAGCAAACGCCGTCAAACATACGTCTGAAGGGTCTGTCAGGATTGAGCTATACGTGGCCGAAGTACAGGACAACCGAGCTCGCATCGATATTGTGGTCCAGGACTCCGGCCAGGGCATGAGCAACGCGCAGCTGGATGCGCTTTTCAGAGAGCTTGAACAAGTTGACACGGACATTGGATCCGAATCATCTGACGACGACAATTCGCAAAGCGGTAAAGCGCTTGGCCTGGGTCTTGCAGTTGTCGCAAGAATTCTGCGAAACATGGATGGGCAGCTCCGGCTGAAGTCCGAGGTTGGGAAGGGATCCAGATTTGTGATCCAATTGCCCTTCGACCTTCCCGAGGAGGAAACAAGCCGAGATACTGTGGGGGCTAGCAGTGGCAACACCGCGCAGCTATCCCTCGGATCTGGTACCGCCTCGGCCTCCGCTGCCTCTGTGACCCATATGCAGGACGGCGAAGTGATGCTGGTCGACCGCAACAACGGCAGCTCATGGTCTGTCAACAACGCGACTGGCTCGCTGGCGTCCAAGAAGAGCTATGATGACAGTCTAAGCATCACAAGCAAAGGCAGCGGACGAAGCGCGCTCAGTGATGCGGACAGGCTCATTGACGCCATCCAAAACCCTCTCACACTAGGCGAGCCCGAGCCAGAAAGCGTCGCTCGGCAAAGGAGGGACTCACGGGGTCCCTACTACAACCCATCTTCCAGTCTTCTCGGATCCTCCAAGGGGCGGTCGGTCAGTCCAGGGAGCCGAAAGCGACCAGATGTTCCTACGCGGTCGGTTTCGTCGCCGAACACTAAGAAGGATTTACCTTTCGAGAAACCAACGACGGAAGTTGCACCCGGACCTTCTGAGCCAGCACCAGCAGCCCAAGGGGTGCAGTATGTAACTGACAGTAGGGTTCCCATCAAGCCGGTGAAGCTGCCAGACGAAATGTTCGACAAGCCTGTGGTCCCACCGCAGAGCACGTCAAAGGTGCTCTTTGAAATTAAGGATGCCGTTGCGGATAAGGCGAAAGCAGCATCACCTGCTGTCAAGGAGCAACAGTCTGTGTCATCACAACCGCCCGCCCCACCGCCCGCGCCCGCCAAAGAAGCCTCAACAAACAACAAGCTGCAAGTTCTGGTTGCCGAAGATGACCCCATCAACGTCAAGGTGCTGCGCAAGAGACTCGAGAAGGCTGGGTACAAAGTTACCCATGCCTTGAACGGCGAGGATTGCGCAGCAGTGTATGAAGACAAGCCCGTGGTGTTTGACGTCGTCCTGATGGATATGCAGGTATGTTGCATTTTTTTTTTTTTTTTTTTTTTGCTTCCCATCTCCTTCCCTTTTTCCTTTTCTTACCACTAACATTTTTTTTCTCTTCAGATGCCAATCGTCGACGGTCTTACTAGTACCAAGATGATCCGCGCCTTTGAGAAATCCAACCGGGACGGCAGCGGCCAACAGCTCTCCGACATCGCCTCCGACCACGGCCGCGTCCCCATATTCGCTGTGAGCGCCTCCCTAGTCGAGCAAGAAAAGGACACGTACGTAGACGCCGGCTTCGACGGCTGGATCCTCAAGCCCATTGACTTTAAGCGCCTCGAGACCCTGCTGCAGGGCATCACGGATGATCAAGTCAGGAATGACGCGTTGTATGTGCAGGGCCAGTGGGAGAGAGGTGGCTGGTTCGAAAAGAAAGGGATGGGGAATATGGGGCAGGAACAGCAGGAAAATCACGAGCAATAACACAAGTAGAGGCAGGCGCAGAAGGAGCAAAAGGAACAAAAGGAACAAAAGCAGCAGCAGCGCAAAACTGTGGTAAATGGTGGGCAACCTAAACCGGAGCCGAAGGAAAGTATCGATGCTCGATGTTGTAACACGCCAAGACTGTACAGGAGTAAAGGAACAAAGGGATCAAGGTGGTGTGGTGTGCGTCTGAGGAATGGATGGGGAGTCGGGAAAAAAAAAAAAGGAACCGAAGTATAAATATTCCTCATCATCGATGGGAGAGGAAGAGAAAGAGGTGGTTTACATTCTACATATGCCTACTATCATACATACCTGGAACCTTCACTCGGTGTTTGGAGTGATGGAAGATTGGAAGGGGGTAGGGTAGGAAGAAAGCAGACAGACAACTACCTAAGCAGGGCAGGCAAGAAGGCAAGAAGGCAGGCAGGCAGGCAGAAACGGAAGGAAGGAAGGAAGGAAGGAAGGAAGGAAGAAAGGCCCGTTCTTCGCCGGCGGCAGCAATGAATGATAGGGCTCTGTCGAGCAAAATGCTGAGCAAAAAGCCTCCAGAGCCTCCTCCTTGGTGTCACTGTTGGTGCTGTTTGATGAGAGAAACTGAATGAAATAAAATACCTGGATACTACAATACCGTGAACTTTTGTTAGTTTTCGAAACTTTTGTAGTAAGATGAGATCATGAGAGCTTGGGGTGGATGGATGCTGCAGCCGGGTTGTGGTGCTCACGGTAGGAAGGTTCGAGGGAGAACGAGGGTGGTTGATTGATTCGAGGAAAGGAAAGACAAAGAATCAAAAACCAGAAAGACAACCAACTTAAATACCCCGCCAGTACACCCAAGACACCATTGCACTGCGTGTTGACGTGGTTGACGGGTCGAACTTTCAATGTGAAGTTGGAATGGATGCTCCGTCTCATCTCTCATGTCGTATCTCGAGCCTTGGTCTACCTACCTAGATCGCGAACGATTTATTACTGTGCCGTTGCAAATGCAATTACCTCACTGCATCGCATCGGTTCCCTTCATACATGGATACTTTGAATGAAACTCAAATGAACACGTTGTCCGACCTAATTGAGAAGTCGGCATGGTAGGTAGATGTTTCCTTTCTTTCTGATCTTGAAAGCCGCCGCAAAGGTGGAAGTCGTGCCGTGGTTGCAGTGACGGTACCCCCGAGAGATGGAATGCATCAGAATATAGGTGCTGCATTTGGAAGAAATAGTCAAGCTTTACGGGATTGTAGTATAGTGGTCAGTACTTCTCGTTGTGGTTCTTTGTTCACTCACTTTGAGTGACGAACACAACGATCCGAGAGGACCCAGGTTCGATTCCTGGCAATCCCAACTTTTTTTTCGGGGGGGAACCTTCCTTTTGCTGTCGAGGATCTGAAGGGGTTTTTGTTTGTTCATTCTTTTTTATTCATCGATTTATCTATCAACTTTGTGGTTTTCCGATGTACCTGTTTTGTTATTGTCTTTTGCTTCACAAATGCAGTGCAGTGTTTTGCTGTCTCGTTGCGTGTTGGTTGCGGCTTCCTCATCGGAATGGTCAATGGTGGGAATTGCGACTCAGTGATAATTGGTTGGTGTTTTGCCGAACCTGGAAGGCGCAGCTGGTGCGGGGGATGATGGCAGTGATGACTGCAGAGAACGAAGCAGGCCGGGCTGAGCTGAGCTGTGTGGCTTCCGCTGATTCGAGAGCCTGGTGCTTTCCCGTACTTGCGAGGAAAAACAGGACGTCTTGCTGCTGCCAGAGAATCTTCTCCAGGGTTGCATTTCCCCCCTTCCCTCTTCTCCTCGTCGTCCTCCGTGAACTCAACCATATCACGAATGAAGCGAACTTTTCCTTTACGACCATTGCTTCCCAAAGGACCTGCGAAAAACCACGACGATAATGATTTGCTCCGTGTGCCAGACGACACTGCAAGCTGCCATCAGCCATTTCCGGATCGCAAAGAATCAGGATGCGGGACACCTTTTCCAGCCGATTTCAGTTAACGGGCCTAATGGAGAGTACGTTGAGGATCATCACAAGACATGGAACGATTTCATGTATTCCGTCGACCAGAAATGCCATATATGTCGGAGCGTTTGGCAGTGTCTCGATAAAGCGAACAAGCGGAGCTTGGTCATTCTTTGGAAGAAAATAGCGACCGGAAAGAAACCCAATGCTTACGGAAACGCGGCATCTCAACTACTTTTGAACTATCGGAGGCACCAAGATTATCAGTGCTTCACATTCGGCTTCAGGTTTCTCATAGAGCCCGAGACCAGCGATTTCATGCCTACCTTTTTTTTGGATGAAGATTTTCGCCGATACCAGTTTGTGCTAGATCCCACCCAAGGTGAACAGAAGCCGACTTTCTTTTCATTTGTGACAAGCGGTGAATTGTAGACAGGAAGAGAACCTTAAGTTTGACCCATTCTGTCTGACAATAATGCTAATATCCCTCCGTGTGAAAGAGAAACCGTATGTCGTTCCTACGTCCGAAACAAGCACGTGGTCTTCAAGAGCTCAGCGTCTGGCAAGAAATTGGGTTGGTGACTGCGTGGATAACCATAAGCAATGCATATATTCTAAGGGTGATACCGGCTGGTATCCAACAAGACTCTTGGACCTCGGTGAATCAACAGAGGTGCGGCTCATCGAGACCAAGGACACGAAGCCAGCCGGCCCATACGCTACAGTTACCCATCGTTGAGGGCAAGTTGACGAGGACTTTGTGTTGAACAAACAGAAATACCCTCAGCTTATAAAGGGGTTACCCTTGGATTCGATGCCCCGGTTATTCCAGGATACCATCTCAGTTGCGTGCTCACTTGGAGTGCAGTATCTATGGATCGATTCACTCTGTATATTCCAAGACAAGGACGACAAAACCGACTGGGCGCATGAAGCATCACTCATGGACAAAGTGTACTCACACTCTTACTGCAACATATCCGCAGCAGACGCCGAAAACTGTTCATGGTCGCTATTCAACGCCCGAGATCCTCATTCCATCAATCCGGAAACACTCACCCTGGATATTGTCAGCGATGAAATTGGTGGGATGATTCCGGTTCAGTTTTACGTGTATAATTGTGATTTTTGGTTCGAGCAGGTTAGCACCGCATTGGTAAACAAGCGTGCCTGGGTCCTCCAAGAACGCATCCTAGCCCCTCGCGTCCTGCATTTCGGAGAACGCCAGTTAATGTGGGAGTGCTGTGAAAAAGACGCGGCAGAAGTGTTTCCTCACGGGCTTCATCCGGAACTTGCGGCATCTGGAAATGTGCGATTTAAATCCTTCAATCTTGAGCTGGATCAGGGTGATCAACGGGGCTATTTTGTCGATTCGGAACTGCCAGTGGCGCGGCTTTTATGGAACCGGATCATTTGGAAATACACAGGATGCGACATTTCTCGGTCTGAAGATAAACTGATTGCCTGCTCGGGGATAGCGAAAAGATTTGAATCATTGCTACAAGATACCTACGTAGCTGGCATTTGGCGTACCGATCTCGAGGCTCAATTACTTTGGGTAAAATCTACAGTTGGGCCCGGACTAAGGCCGGGCGTGTACCGGGCTCCTTCCTGGTCCTGGGCATCAATTGATGGTGTTATCTGGCCGTCTACGTGGCCTCAAGATGGCTGTCTGTTCGAAATTGAGGATGTGCACCTCAGCTACGCGACGCCCGACAAGACGGGTGGTATAACGGCTGGCTGGTTACGCCTGCGCGGAGTTCTTTTAGATACCAAGCTTGTCAAAGTGAGGGAGCATGAGGCGGTCGTTGATGTGTGCTTGGAGGGAGTGAGTATACCGGCCGACCTTACGACTCCTGGTCGAGTGTCACCTAGTGTGGCCTTCGATTATTTAAAGGGCAGCGTTGCCTACAGAAGTGCCGAAGACGGAATCTTTTCCATGGTTGGACACGCTGGAACCGAACATATGCCGATGGTATTGCTACTGTTCAAGGTGGTTGATGAGCAACGAGGTGTATTTGGGCGAATTGGGGTGGTTTATGCCTACCGGGACCAGAGAGAAAAGATATTGTCCATTAGACGGGAACCAGAGAAGCCACCCTTACCTTGCGCCGAATTCAAGGACGGGAAGCACACCATTATTGTCATATAGCACATCAGGAACGAGGACTGAAGATAGAGTAATAAAGATAGCGGTCTCTTTGCGAACATACAGATGTTTCTCAGTCCAACCTAAGCAGACAGTCTTAGACAGACCAGGCTCCATCAACTTCTAGACTCCGACACGATCCGGGCATTCGGTCACCTACGCAGCTCTAGATACTACAGGTTTAGTAGTGGCATCTTCCTCCGGACCTGAAGAAGAACAGGAGCATCAAACGTCCAAGAATAACTCGCTGAGAGAAAGACCCTAGAGATACGTCTCCGAAATCACCACAAGGGAAAAGTTGTAAGGAAGAAGAAAACAGCGGAAAGAAAACAAAGGAAAGACACAAGACCAAATCTAAAGGCAGGAAAAGATAACACAACAGAAAGGGAAAACAGCGAAAATCGAACGGAGGGAGGTAAGCACAGACAAGGAAATGACAGAAAAGAAGAAAATGAAAAAAAAAAAGAGACATTCTTCATCATTATATACCCCCAAACCACCATCCTCATTATGCCATGCTCAGTACTCGTTTGTTCGATCATACAAATACCAAACCACAAAAGCAATGTGTACCCATCGACACTCATCAACGACCTCATCTCCTCCTTCATTCAAACTTACCATTTACGAAGTTGATTTCACATAGTTTGCATAGACTTAAATCGTAATCTACACTAGTGATTACATATAAAAAGGTTAGGTACGCACATAGCGCACAACTATCCGACTCTGTTATATCCACAGAGGGCAATTCGACATCAACCAATTCCAATTCATTATGACTTATCACCCAAATGGAAAGAAGGCACATTCATCAAGTTGCGTCCCACCATCTAGACAAGTCACCTACCCACCCCATCCAGATTCCAAGTACAGGCCGAACATGTCCAACCTACTTACTACCTACGAGGTAGATGAGCAAAGGACTATCTACATGTAAGTTTAACTCCTTCCATTTCTTGTATACAACATTCCTTCATATCATCCAACCGGTATTATATGTATAACTCCCACGGCGTCTGCCTTTAAGTAGCGAATATACCTCTACTTGACTATTGTCATACCTGGGGTCTTTGTTATTTTCGTGCTGCTTTCAAATTTCAGGCTCTGGCTCTTCGATAACTTCAAAGAAAAGCACGAAAGCGGCTGATATTTTACCCCCAAAAAGGAGAAGTATTGGTTTTCAGAACTTGAACGATTAATTAAGTCTAAGCCTTGGGATGTATATCCTTACGTGATAAACTGTCATTTCATTGAAAGTGTTTGCGGGTGAGAAGGTGCCGCTAGATGCGCGTGACGGTAGTTACTAACGAGTTAATGGGAAAGGAAACGGTGTAATGGACAGTTGAGATAAATCAAGGTAGATTTGGATTGCCTTGCCCTTTGGAACCTAATGACCTTAGAACTAGGTAATGCTGGGTGGGGGTTAATAGACATGGCGTGCTGCGTGGGACTTTGAAGGCCAAGCACATTTTTCACTTTCATAGGTTTCGGGTTATCTTCTGCTTGATTGTGCTTTGCTATGCAAACTCAGATGTTGTCCAGTGATATTTCTGTCATTGCTTTTGGCTGGCCATCCCGAACCGAAGAAAGTGAAGAAACCAAAGAAGCCAATCTATGACGCTTTCTTGCAAGACGTAGAATCCCTCGATATCGTACCCACATACCCAAGCGATGGCAAGCTAGAGATATATACATATATGACTGAAGTTAGTGTGAGCCATGCAATGTTTTAGGTTCATCATTTCCCCCCAAAAGATATGCAATTCGCTTCAAGAGGCCTGCTGGGCGCTCTGCACTTCTTTTTTTTGTCATTTTTCCTGAATGATCGCTTAAAGCTGCTTGCCAAGGCGCTCGTCTCTCATCTTGCGGAACATATCCATAACACCGGTGTAAACCACGAGGAGGATACCACCACCCGGGCCGAGTCTGAGGACCTTGGGGATGAAGCCCTTGTAAAGAGCGCCGAAACCTTCCTCCTTGAAGACGGTCAGGACGGCAGGCCAGGCCCAGTTGTACTTGGGCACCTGGCCGGGCACCTTGATGGTGTTCTGGATACGGCTCTTGACGACGTCCATGGGGGTGTTGAAGATGGTACCGACAGTACCACCAACGGTACCGGCAATGATATCATTGATGGTCTGGCCCTTCTTGGTCTCGGCCTTGGGGATGAGCTGGCGGACCTGGAAGATGCAGCCAAAGTAACCGGCGTTCCAGAGGATGTGGCGCCAGAGGGTCGACTCGAGACCGTTGTACATGGCGAGGAGACCCTCGTTGCGCACCGTCTTGACGACGACATCAACCATACCGTTGTACTTGCCGGCCGAGGCCTTGTCTTGGAGACGGATCTTGACGAGCTCGAAGGGGACGACGATGAAGGCCTCGGTGGCACCGGCGGAGGCGCCGGTAAGGACAGAAAGACCTTGGGTCATCTGCTGCTGGCCGAAGAGGTCGCGGTAGAACTTGCCCCACTTGTCGTTGGCGGCGAACTTGGTGGCACGCTTGGGAGCCTCCATCAAGATGGGGGCAGTGATGCCGCGGTAAAGGCGGGAGGGGCTATGGAAGAAAGGTGTCAACTTGGGTCATACAACCCGAGCTCTATGGGATCGAAAGCATACCCTTCGTTCTTGACGATCTTCTTGAAGCAGTCAAGCATGCCATTGTAGTGGTCGGCGCCCGCGGTGGGCTTGCCGGTCTGAAGTTGGCTGGCGGTGTATGTGGTTAGCTTCGGGAGAAGCGCATTGGGGCGCGGTGGCCGCGATAGGTGCTCGAGGTGTCGTCGAGATATGGCAGGTGGTTGCGCTCACATTCTGGTCTTCAGGACATCAAGAGGATACCTGTTGTGACGGCATGTATTAGTACTGGGAGCTTATGGCAAAGAGCACGCGACCACTGGGGGCACCGGCGGCGGGGCATTCGAAACGTACATAACCAAAATCTAAAGACCAGCCAGCGCAAGGTTCTGGTTAGTTACACAACACAGATGAGCGATTCGGGTACATTTTCGGAGGGAGACCTGCTTCAGAGACACCAGCGATGGCACCTAAGGACGAGAATTCACGGTTAGCATTGGTCCATGGTGTTTGCGACACGAGTGTCAATTGCGCGCCGGAGTTCGTGGAAGCTTCAAAATCGGAGAGGGACAGGACTTACCGGCCGCGAAGGTGTAGCCAAAAGGAAGGGGGGCTTGCTCGGACGCCATTTTGAACTATGTATATAGAACCAAGAACAGAAGATCCAGAAGAAAAGGGGCGCAATCAAACCAAGGTTGAAGTGGAAGAGATGGGAGGGAAAAAAAAAACTAGGTACACTAAACAAAGTGCCTCTGTCGTCACTTGGCGAATTCGTTGAAGGTCCGGACCCGGGGAGTCAAGGCCGGATCGATAGAGGTAGCGTCCAAGTGGATAACAGTCAGCCTACCATGGCCGGATCTGGCGGCTGTTTATGCTTGGGTTGGGGATGCTCCTCAGCGCTTCAGGACCTCCACAGTGACTCTCTGCCCCCGTCCTTAACGGGTCGCTAACTGGAAGCGGCATCGGAGCTCTTCCCTACTCCCGTCCTACGAAGACCCTTCCATCTTCCATGGCGCAAATCACTAGTGTAGGTATGTACTATGTGCTATGTAAGGTAACGGGCCCGGCGGGAAAGCTAACGTCAGGACCATTACCTAATGGGTTTTCGAAAGATTGACTTTGGGAATTGGGGTCTTGTCTTTCTCGTTTGCATGCTTAGCTCCCTCGACGATAGGCTAGGCCCACAAGGAAGGCGAGAACATGAAGAAGCTCCAGTTGAGCCGCGGTGTATGGCACTTCTTAAGTTCTTTGACATGTGCTTCCACACTTTATGGGATCTGCGCACGAACCTCTACGGATACACTGACTTCCACTTAGCAACTGGCGGGGCTTCATAACCACCAGTTGGGTCCCTCGGTCCATCAATCCCATCCATGTCATTCCCTTGAAAGCGATCAAAGACAACAAAATAACCTCCCTTACTTCAGCCTTACTCCCCTTCCTATCACCAGATCCAATGTAGGATCCAGTTACATCCGTTACACGAGCATGTGCCTCCCATCATCAAACTCCAGCCCAGATTCAGACTTCTTGACGACGGATGGAGGGGAACTCTGCTCGCTTATCTTATCTGTCATCCCGTCGATCGCGCATGAGTGTCAATGGAGGGCTGTGATTGGTTGTGCACAGAACGCCATGTCCAGAGCGGGCGGGGGGCTGGCTACCTTCCACTTTGGTTCCATTTTAGTATTGTTGTATGGCCTTGACAGTGACACTGACATGGAACAGTTGGCGACGACCTCTGGCTGAAGGGGAGATCCGATCGGTGTTCCTACCCGCCTCCGGTCTATGTGTACTTCCTTTTATCTCCCGCGCTCCTCCACCTCCGCAACTTGTGGCATCTCATCTCCAACTTCCACTTCTTTCTAGGAGGAACACACCGCACCAACCATATCGCTTTGCCCTTCGCTAGCTTCCACACGTCGTCGCCCCTGAGAAACACAAGAACCTGTCCGACCGTCCAATCGCCCAACAGCCAAGTCGCCACCCTCACAAACCCGCGACACACACACACACACTGTGACTGGGACACCCGAAAGAGCTCGATCGTTATCCTTTCCGGTGGACGTCTTTCCTACGCTTCATAACGCACCTTTAAACAAGCCGTGATCCAGTGCGAATCACAGCGAGGTGCCATCGAAGCGTGTCCGAGGGACTTCCCGCCGCCCATCCGGCTACTAATGACGCAGACGCATCTCCTTTGGAAATACTATTGGGAAGACGATGTCGAAAAATTTCGACGCCTCCTCTCCCTCGCTGCCCACGGCCCCCAACCGGCTGGCCGGAGCAGCAACATAACCCCAGGCCAAGCCGGCGGTGCTGGCAGTCTCGGTACATCGCCCCGTCCGTCGGGCAAGTCGCGCAAACAGCCCAACGGCGCACTCTCTCGAATCGATGTCAACAGTCGCGACCATGTTGGCCTTACCCTCCTTCTGCGCGCCGCCTCCTCGACAACCAAGAACGCCGTTTCCTTCGCCGAAGCCCTGATCGAGCACCCCGCCATCGATATACACGCCCAAGACCCCGAGAGTGGCTGGAATGCCCTTCACCGTGCATTATACGCAGGGAACATCTCGATTGCCCGGATGCTGCTGGCTAAAGAACGGAGGGTCTTGGCAGGACCTACAGCATCGTTTCTTCGGGTTGGACAGCTGATCAAGACCAAGGATCACGAAGGCAATAGCCCTTTCGACTTGTATAACGCGACCATTGGTGAGCGGGACTTGATAGCTCTTCGGGAACAGGGAGGCGCGCAGGAGGAAGAGGACGGATCAGACAACGAAGCCGAGGTGGCTCAGGAGAGCGTTTCCAGGAAATCCAGGCACGGTGCCCTTGGCGAGGATCTATACACCTTTGGAAGCAACCGGAACCTGACATTGGGCCTTGGAGATCAGGATGACCGTCAGTTCCCCGAGCGGGTTTATCTTGAGCGGCCGGCGCATTTGCTTCAGCGATTCTACAACGAGTACCTAGAGAGTGCTGGATTAGAAGGTTCCACTGCCCAAAACCTGAGGGACGTTCCAGCTCTTGTTTTGAACCGACCGATTGTTATCGAGGATGTGGTCATGTCGAAACTTCACAGCGCCGTTCTCACGACGGACCCCGTCTCGAATCTGTATGTTAGCGGTGTTGGCCGAGGTGGACGGCTAGGACTTGGTGACGAAAATACCCGCTTCAAGTTTACCCCGGTCCAAGGACCCCTGGCCGACAAAAAGATCATCCAGGTCGCGCTCGGACAGAACCACACCATGGCTCTAGATGAGAGTAGAGCTCTATGGACTTGGGGTAGCAATGCCCACTCCCAGCTAGGCTATACTCTTCCTGAGCCGACCAAAAAGGATGAAGACCCCATAAGCACCACGCCGCGGCAGGTATTCAGCTCCTTGAAAAAGGAGAGTATCCAGGGTATAGCTGCTTCCTCAATCCATTCAGTTGCTCACACCGGCATCTCCCTCTATTGCTGGGGTAAGAATGTTGGCCAACTGGCTCTGATGGATTCGGATTCGAGATCCCTCGAGTATCAGCAGACCCCGAGAAAGGTGGCAGCTTCACTCTTCTCGTCGCCGATTGTCATGGTCTCGGCTATTGACAAGGCGACAACAGTTCTTCTCCAGAACTACACAGTCTGCGTGTTCACTGGTTACGGATACAACATCGTCAAGTTTCCCTTTGCGAGCATGGATACGATTGGCCATCTTTCCATGTCCAATCGATATGAGCCAGGTAGGAGCCAGATCTCCTATATCACGTCCGGTGGAGAGACGATTGCTGCTTTGACAAAGCGTGGAGATCTGTTCACCATGCATTTGGACCACAAGATGGAGACGAACCCACCGGCAACCTCTACCACCAATCCTTCCAAGATCAAGGGTGCTGTAACCCAGCCGCAATGTATCTGGAGCGCCAGAAAGGATGGAGTGCGGTCGGTTGGAGTGGGTGAGTATGGCTCGGTCATCATCAGCACCCACTCTGGAGCCGTTTGGCGCCGCATCAAGCGAGCAAAGGTCAAAGACGCCTATTCGTGGTCTTCGGAATCAAAGCGCAACGACTTCAAATTTCAAAGAGTGCCGCACATCACAAAGGTTGCCGCAGTACGAGCATCACCTTTCGGTGCGTTTGCTGCGGTTCGCCGAGACTTGGATGTATTGAAGGAACAGCTCGTGGTTTCTGAGCAGTCTCTTTGGAAGGATGTGGCACCACTCAATCCTCTGGCGGATTTTAGAGCATCTGAGCCGAAGCCGAGAGTCAGGAATAAGGAAAAGGTCAAATTCTGGGGAAATGAGACAGTAAAGTCCAACCTCGGATCCGTCGCATATGAAGTGCTCAAATCCTCGGATCTGGAAGAGGATTTGGACTCGTACCTCGTAGAATGGAATCATCTTCACCAACCATTGGACGCCCTGGTATGCAGCTCATCCCTTCCGGATATTCGGATTCCAGTTCACGCCTGGCTCCTCTCCGCCCGAAGCTCCGTAATACGGCATGCTCTGGCCCACTCGCGGAGGGTTAGCTCTGATGTTCAGCACGAAGCATTTACGATTAGCAATGTGGATGGAAGGCCTTTGCTTATCTTTCAGGGCTTGGATGTGATCACCTTGCTCAACTTCGTTCACTTCATGTACGAGGACAAGGTGATACCGGCATGGAACTTTACACGTCAAGCCCCGCCATTGGCCTACAGATATCGTCAGGTTCGCCAGGAGGTCATGAGGCTTGCCACTCGTCTCAACATGCATAATCTTGAGGCAGCGGCCCGGCTGCAGGTTGACCCCAAGAAATGCATGGATGAAGATTTCCGACTAGCCATCAAGGACCGCACCTTCTTTGGCGACGGCGATATCCTTCTTGAACTCGACGGCCGGGAAGTTGCCGTCCACAGCTCCTTTCTGTGTCAGAGATGTCCTTGGTTCCAGGTGCTTTTCCACGGACGATCCAGGGGCATTTGGCTGGCTACGCGTCGAGAAGAAGCAGAAATCGAGAACGAGAGGATCAGGATTGATCTCAAGCATATGGAACCCAGTGCGTTCGCTTACGTGCTTCGGTTTCTGTATGGCGACTACGGCGCGGAGCTGTTTGACCCCACCATGTGTGAAACGTTCGCGGATTTCCTTGACCTTGTCATGGATGTGATGTCTATGGCCAACTACCTTATGCTGGACAGGCTGTCACAGATCTGCCAAACCATCATGGGAAGATTTGCCAACATTCGCAACATTGCCAACTTCCTCAATGCCATCAGCCCATGCTCTATTACTGAGTTTAGAGATGCCGGGCTGGAGTACATCTGCTTACAGCTGGAGTCAATGCTCGAAAATCACCTGCTTGATGAGTTGGACGATGACCTGCTTCTGGAGCTAGACGCGATTGTTCGTGACAACCAGGCTGCCCAGTCGCCGTTTGTAAGGAGTGGCAGATTTGAGATGCTGCTTCATGAAGCTCACCCAGAGCTTGCTCAGGATATCGATGAAGAGAGGCAGATCAGGGTTAAGGAGATTGCGTTCAGAGCTTCAAGGGAAGATGATCGAAAGCTTTCCACGGCCTTCAAAGGCAAGGGTAGCAGTGGCGTTGATGATGCATCAGCGTCTACGCCTGCTGCTGACAAAACTAGGAGAGCGTCAAAGGCTGCCAGGAATGAACCATTTGGTCATAGCCCCGAGTTGAAGCCAAAAACCTCGCAAGCCGATCTCATCTTTGACATGGAAGAAGACGGTCCGGCTACGCTCAGTACGCCCCTTGGTGCCAAGGCTCCCAAGGTCTCTAGTTCGGCAGTGGATAAGGACCAGTTCCCGACACTAGGCAGTTCATGGAAGGGCAAAGCTCCGATCCGGAGTGGGCAGTCGCCTGCCATGGCATCACGCAGTTCTTTGCAGGCCGGAACATCGCCAGCGACGAAAGCCGGAGGAGTTCCATGGGCGAACGCCCCGATGCCGGCCTCGAAGGTTGGCTTGCGGGACATCATCCAATTGGAAACCACAACTACGCCAGTTGCAGCAGGTCGGTCAGCCCTATCAGAGGGGTTGGCTGCACAACAGCAACAGCAGACGGGCAAGGAAGGGACATCGGCGCCAAAGGTTGCACAGCCCAAGCTGTCTCAGAAGGAGAGGAAGAAACAGCAGCAGGAACAGGCGGCAGCTCAAGCAGCTTTGCACTTTGCCAAGGCTTCCCTTGCAAACAAGCCGGCATGGGGTGACACTGAATCGAAGGCGCCGCCTCCATGGAAGATGGTTACCGCCAACAAGGCCAAGCCAGCGCCGCCACATGTCAATCCTCCCGTCTCTTCTTCACCAGTCGCCAAGCCACTGGTGGCAGCAGAGGCTACGCCCGTCGTCCGCAGGACAGCATCGCCAGACACGCGATTTGCCGGTCAGCGGACGTCAAGCAACAACAGTGTTCATACCGCTAACCCTAATCCCAAGTCCAAGTCGACACCCACACTCTCCTCTTCCTCGGCCCCCCGTCCGAGTCCCCAACCTTCAGCCCAGCAGTTCCCAAGCCTCGGAGACTCTTCCAGCAAACCAATCATCCCACACTCCAAGGTATATATTGCTCCTGCGCGCAAGGACGAGCATTTGCTTGGCTTTAGCATGGAGGAGATCATTTTGCAGCAGAAGCTCGAGCAAGAGCGGATCAAGGGTGCTATGTCTAAGAGGTCCTTGCAAGAAATTCAAGAGGAGCAGGCGTTCCAGGAATGGTGGGATGCCGAGAGCAAGCGGTTACAAGAAGAGGAAGAGGAGAGGAAGAGAAAGGCTACAGAGAAAGAGGAGAGGAAGGAGAAGGGTGACAAGGCAAGGGGCAAAGGAAGAGGCAGAGACACTGTCAATGGTGCCGAAAGTTCAAAGGCTGGCGGAGATGCCACTGCGAAGGGCACCGGAAAGCCGGGAGGTGGTGAGGCTAAGACGGGAGAACGGAAGGGTGAAGGGAGAGGTGGGCGAGGAAAAGGAGGTCCAGGTGGTAAGAAAGATGGGCCTCCCCCCGGCGAAGGAAAAGGAGCTGTCGTCGCTTCTGCTGCGTCAACCTCTGCAACACCAGCGATACCAACAGGTCCAAAGGGCCATGGTGGAGCAGCAGCGCCACAACATCATTCCAGAAAGGCAGACGGCGGAGAAGGAAGCAGCAACCCGAGGAGGAGAGATAGGGGAAGAGATCGAGGGAAAGGCGGGCGAGATGCCACGCAAGTTGCTGGCGCTGTTTCGACTCCCACCGGTCCCGCCATCCCGGCTGCTGGGAGGTAGTGTTGGACTTTGGTGAACGTGTGCACTGCTTAGCGCAGGAGCCATGCACTGAAAAGATTCATGGGTTGACTGGGTGAAGCAAAGCCAAGGAAGGAAACACAAGGATATGGCAGTATTTTACATAGGGTTTTTGGTTTTTGTTCAACTCATAAGGCTGCATATAGACACACATGGAAGGGAAATGCATCGCTGCCCCGCTGCTGCTGCTGCTGCTGCTGCTTCTAGTTGCTGGCTGCAGCTGTGTACCGATACTGTAATCTGTAGTACGCTACATATGTGGCATATCGTGATACGATGATCTGGATAACCAATGTTTTGGGTATTGGGTTTCAAAGAAGATTTTCGACCAGGCACCTCAGTTTACTACAGGTTAACAAGGTTGACGATTCGACGGGCGTTATCTCCGCACAGGTATGCCTCCCTTTCAAACAACTACAACGATAGAAGTACACAGGCAGCGAACCGAACGCGTGTACTAAGTGGAAGTTGGCGTTATCACCCATGTTTTTCCTTCCACGTGTTGTTGCAGCCTAAAACTTTCTTGTCTTTGCCGGTTTAACTTGATACCGACACAAACAGGATCCGGTATCACCTCTAGGCAGAAATCCTGACATGCAGCATCAACCGCGCACAACCTGATGGATGGACGGAGAGACGACTAGGTAGCAAAGTCCAGACAAAAGAATGAAGATGAAGTTTTGTAACCTAGTGTTACGAACACCCATTTTTTTTCTCTTTTTAACTTTGAAGAAGATGCGCGACGATACAATCGCTAAGTATTGCCTGTCAGGTTAGGTAGGTAAGGTAGGTTTTCCGTTGTTTATCTCCCAATCGCCTTATCACCAACTAAGGCTTACTTACTTCATCACTCAACCGCCGTGTAACCCGACCATTCATTCGTTTTGCGCCCGGACGTCTTGTCTTCTTGTCTTGTTGTAGCTCACAAGCTACAACAAACCGTTCGCCGCCTTTCATCACAACACTCAAAACCGTAATTCGGAATTTCGGGGGGACTCGATCGATTACACAACGTACACTAGCTTTGTCCGAGTTGATATTTTGTGTTGTGTGTGTGTGTAGAACATCGGTGAGGCGAGGCGAGGCGAAACGAGGCAAGGCGGGAAAGTTTTTTAGGTGCTGTTATCGTTGCTATTTGGGGTGACGATAGAGCCAGGAATTGAGGATGAAAGTATAAATTGTGACTTTTTTACCACCTCGATTCCGGAGGGACATTTGGTGGTTAACACCAAAAATGCAATCCATTGTGTATTGTATGAAAGTCAAGGCTGTCTTTGGTACACTACCTACCTACTGAATTGAACGAACTCAGCACTGCCGTGACTTTGTGCGTCTAGACTGCTGCTGCAGGTTCGGAGCCATCTTCCATTCAGTCCTTGGTAAACAAACAATGGGCTGCTTCAGCGGCTGTTCATTCGACGCGTGGCTGCATAGGTAGTCGTAGGTACCTCTAGGCAGGCAGGCAGGCAGGTAGGCAGGCAGGCAGCTAGACTAGTTCCCTTTCTGTGCCTCTTGCGAGGCATCTAGATACTTTATGTAAGTGACTGCATGCTATGCACTGAATGTCCGATGAGGGGCCATCACCCGCTTCGGTAGTTACAAAAACAAAGAAAGAAGGGGAATACTGTATACGCAGTACAGTATATGGGTATCGGTAGGTAGTTTAGTGAGTTCAGAAGGATAAAGACGGGGAAGTATGAATGAATGAGTGTACACAGTAAAGACAAAGAGGAGAGAGAGAGAGAGAGAGCCCGTCTTTGATAACTGTGTCGATCCTAGCATTGTTCGTTTGGATGGGTCAGATCAATGGGATAGGATGATCGGACTTGCAGGCAGCCTTATCGTCGCGCATGGAACGTCGGTTCGAGAAGAGTTGTATTGTCGATGACTCGATGACGAAAAAAGATAAGTTGGTGATCACGAGGCGGTCCTGGCATGCCCTTGGCCGGGGGAGGTTGGCGTCTCGAGGAACGAAGAGGAACCACTCTCCTCATGCTCGTAACTTTGCCTACATATTGTAGGTAGTGTACATACCTGTTGGTAATGTAACTGGGTGCAGCACCAGAGACAAGCACTTGGGGAAAAAAAAGAAGAAAGGCTGCGAGGTACCACGGTAGTCAACCGAGACAATCTTGGTGGCCCGGAAGGAAAGTTGCAGCAACCATACCTACTAAAATCACAAGCGACCTTGTTAGTGATAGTGTGTGTTATCGGTCGGCAGTCACCAGAAACATGGGCGACGGCAAGGCCCGCACCTGGACAGCGTCATCTGAGCTTTTTTGCCGCCTCTTTTCTGTGTATCTTGTCTTTGACTGAGACATCATCGATGGGCTCTGGATATTGACGACAGGAAAATGGAAAATGTCGACTCCGACACAACGTTCGATGGCGTGCTCGAGAGAGTACCTAGAAAAGGTACATAACACTATGTAACAGATTACAATCCCAACGGCGTGTTATCCAGACAGTGCAACAAAACCCCATGCACGCAGCCATTTGCTCCACTCGGCGCGGCAGTGTGCCGGATGACTGCCAATCATTGGCCCACTGATTGGTGTTCTCTGGAGCCGCCACGACGAACCCTGAAACTCCGGACCTGCCTTTCACTGGAACCACTCTAGGGTACCTACACGCTTCCGTTCTCTGACGCGCTGCCGTGGAGAGGATGGCGCAAATGGGACGTGCTCCACTAACAGTCATGGCCTTGGGCTCATCAGTTCGTCAACGAGATGCTGTTATTGTCTGTTAAAGCTCAGCTGTTAGGTTGCTCCGCTGTCGCCCGCTCCTTGACAGCGACTGACAGTCACCGCCAACCAAGTCGGCATCCCGTCTATGTACGTCGAGTTGGATCCCGTTCCCTATCGCACATTCCACACCTCCACACCTCCCATCCATCCATCCATCCATCCATCCTCTCTCGACTCCTCCTCCTCCTCTCCTACTCCCCCCTCCTCCCCTAACATACATTCGGCCTCTCACATTCTGCCTTGTGGCACGGCCCGACGACCCATCACCTTGTGTTTCTTCCCAACCTCCATTTTGCTAGACTATAGATTTCCTCTCCTTCTTTCATTGTCGTCCTCTCTGTCTGCCTTATCCGACTGATCGCCGATAACAAACGATGGATGCAAAGGTCCGCTCTTCCCCGGCCGTCGTCTAGACACTCGAATATTCCCGACCCCTTTTTTTCTTCAGCCATCTTGTCCGGATTGACGCCTTCCATCTGCGCTCGCTTTGACAGACACGGCAGCCTCGCGACTTTGTTATCAGTCACACCGGAGCCGGGGCTTGGCGCCCGTGTCAAGCATCCCACGCACGCCGCTCGTTAACATTGACATCACTTATACATAGCCGCCTACTGGCGACATCCGCCATCCATAATGCATCAACAATCTCGTCATCCCCCAAGGGTCTCCTCCCCCGCAGTTTCGGCCCAGACAAACCCAGCCCGCACAAACAACCAGAGGGACCCCCGGTCTCGAACTAGTACCGACGCCGCCGATAGGGACGGAGCTGGTGGTGGTGGTCAGGATGGAGGTGGTGGTGCCCTCGCTCACGCCGCAAGCCGCGATGCCATCAAGAAGCTGGACCAGATCATTCAGGTGCGCAATCTCGACAAAGCCGCCGTATCGCCTGGCTGACTGACCTGAGTGACAGAACTTCTACTACAAAGCCGCTGTCCTCATCATCGGGTCGCGACAGCATCTAACGCCTGGGCCCAAGAAAGGGTTCAATAAATGGGTGGGTTTCCATTTCTTCAAACCATTACCGCGACAAGCCGCTGACGACGAGATGCAGTTCTCGATAGAGACCGAGGACACCGAAGACTTCAAGGAGGAGCTCCGCCTCTACAGGAACTCGGACAGCTTTACGAATCGTCCCCCGCCCATGATCATCGAGACGTATATCGACGCATCGCGCATTTCCAGCAGTCACAGCCTCGCCCTGGTGGACGCTAATGGCAAGAGGTGGGATGTTCTGGAAGCCCTCAACAGTTCAGAGTCGAGCGAGGATTCGCCACGGAAACGCCACCTGCAAAAACGGAATACCGAGGTGATCTTGGAACGATGGCGCATCGAGCTCAAGTGCATTCCGAATGATGATGCTTTGCAAGATTTTGGACCCAGCCTGCCCACAATCTATAAACGAAGCATAGTATTCTTCCGGTCGCTGTTCTTGGCCACGCGGGTCATGCCCGGCTGGAAGTTTTCCCAGCAGACCATGACCAAGGGCATCCATCCCGCCCTGGAAGTAAAGTGCCGCATTGTGCCGGCCGAGGCCGAATTCCTCAACTACGATCCGTTGCGCCAACCCCTTTCTGACAGTAAGGATGTAGTAACCGAGTACATGTTCGGTGATCTAGAAGTGCCCGTAGGTCGCTTCAATGCTTCCGTCATCTATCGAAATGACTGCACGTTTCGGGTCGAGGATGCCGACGCTCTGCTGAGTTCGCGACTCATGGGTGTAGATGAGGATTTCTTCAAGCCCTCAATACCTCAACGGCCGCAACCCGTCAGCCACGGCCGAGCCGACTCGTACGCGGAACCCGGATCTTTGCCCTCACACCGCCTAGGACGGCGCAACCGAGAGCCGCATCAGACGTATGGCAGTCTGTCGACATTTCATGGCACCGGCGCATTCGGCACAAGCCCCATCTCGGCGCTCAAGGCAGTCCGACCGGCCGGTTCAGACACGAGCTCGCCACCGGGTTCTTCCGCAGCCAGTGTCGACCATTCAGAACCGTCGCATTCTCTTCCCATCCGCAGTGCATCAAGCCGGACATTGCGGGATGTTGAGGGCAGCAGACGACCTTCGATTTCGTTTCAACCCTTTAAAGCTGGGTCAATATCCGGGAGTCCCAGGTTTCCCGATCATGGAGCACCGGCCTCGCCACATTCGCTTCCACGACCCTCGGGTTTGAGCGGAATCTCGCAAGCCAGGAACAGATCCTCGCTTACGGCGGGAATGGCGGCCTCTTTGCGTGGTCCCGGCGCTGCCGTTCCAACGGATATTCCAAAGTCTAGCTCACCAAGGCCCCAAAGTCGATATAGCAGCAGTTTCAGCCATCGTCGATCACGGACCTCATTCGGCGGCCAAAGCAAGACCGGCGATGACGAAGCCAGTAGTAGTGGCAGACAAAGCCTGTCTTCATCAGCTCAGCCTGGCTCGGCCCTGCTCGCCGAACCTGTAGGTGGAGTGGCCAGTTCAAGCTCGTTCCAGACGGATGACGACATTTCCGAGTTTCTTAAAGAGCTTGACAACAGGAAGAAGTTGCCGAGCTTTGAGGCTACCAAGAAGGGAGAGCAATCAGCTGCTGCACGCCGTACTGCTGCACAGCTTAACAAATTCCACCTGATGAGGGACTCGAACAATGCGCTGACGGAGAGCATGCTGATGGGATCTTCAACTTTGCACCGGAGCTCAAGCTCCAGCAGCAGACACATGTCCAACATGCCAGGTAGCCTGGGAAACCCGGGAATCAGTATGAGTGGTGCGAGCGTCAGCAGCTCACCGGGCGGAAAGCCCCTGAGCCCGCATACGCCTCACACGCCCGCGATTCCTAGTCGGTTGAGCGAAAACTCGATTATTGATTACCCGGCCCAGGCTAGCTACAACAGGAGAGGGAGGTCTCATGTGGTGCCCACCGAGGAGGAGGAGGAAGAAGAAGAAAGAGAAGATGGCGATGAGACAACGCAAACCGACCGTCAACAGGAAATTGGGGGTGGCGCAGTCTCGGCGGCGATCGATATCCCGCTCTCTCCTCGTCTGCTCCATGCGGGTAGCGCAAACCGCCGAGCGAGTTCCGTGGCCCAGCAGCACCGTTCGCTGGCGGCTGGAGCTGGCGCCGGAACGGGAGAAGATGATTCGGATATTGCCCAGCGGAGCTTGAGCCTCGGAGCGGGCGGTGGCGAGGCGCCCTCGTTGAGTACCCTGCTTGCTTTCCAGCGAAGAAATTCGGGCGATGGCAACGAGGACAGTTCGGCGGGAAGTGGAATGGCAGGAATGCAGCAACTACAGCCCGCGGCGGATATCCGGGCTTCGGCGGAGCTGAGGCAGGCAAATGATGATCAGCCGACCAATCCGCCAGTCAGGCTCATGACTACCAGCAGGACCCCGTACAAGTCGCGGTACAGCTACCATGGCACGACGACGAGTTCCACGCAAGGGCGCGGTAGCGGGATCGGGCCCGGCACAAGGGGGACACCGCCTCATTCGAGCGGGGGTCCGTTTACCGGGATGAGGTATGTGGGCACCATGGCTGGTCGAGGTGGAATGGGTGTCGGTCAGGGTGAGGACGGCACCGATGACGAGCCGTTGTTGTTCGCCATGTCTGAACTCGAGAGGCCTTCGAGGCACAGTTTGGAAGAAGCAAGAGGTGGTGGTGTGTTGGGAGGATCTCCTAGGGGGTTGAGAGGAGGAGCTCGGGGGGCTGGAGAGGCTAGTGGGAATACTGACGGTGGAGGTGTGGGTGATGGAGAAGAGTACGAGGTTAGGGGAACTACGCGTCGGGGATGGTAGTTTCACTTTGGTTGCGTGCATGTGCAATGCATCGCTTTGGATTACGGTACAAGAGCGGTGTATGTTCAGGAAGTCGGGAAAGGTTGATGTCTACATTCTACAGATTAAAGATCACAGCGACAGAGAAGCCAGATGCTATTCTCGACATGAACCTATGTTGGTGTTTGTTGTTCTCAGACAACTATCCATTCTCCCTCTTTTCATATTTTTTGTCCGGGTTTGCGGGTAGTTGGACCTTTGAGTCGGCATGATTAGAGGCTCATTAGTGAAGGAGGGGGGTCTTTCACACTTCGTTATTCGTTTATATTCAGGAAGCCTATTCCAGCCTTAGCGAGTGGCTGATAAGACTAAGACACTTTCCCGCCAGTCAAGTTCATCAAAACCCTACTTTCGTAGTAGCGAGTTAGGCACAGAAATCCATTGTATATATACTTACGATGTATATGATATGAATGAACGTCTGGAGGCCCCGTACGATGCCAAAAAATGATTTGTAGTTGGTTGTCATCTCGAGATTGGTTAGTGTAAATCGTATAGGACACGGAGCAACTTGAAGCTCAAGTAGGGGGCTGTGTATAAGTGACTTGAATTTATTCCCCACTTGGGAAGAGGATACAGGCATGGAACTTGACCTGTAGTCGTGAGAAAGATGATATGGCATTTGGCTTCTAGTTACTCGGCGTTGGGGCTTGCCTTACAATTACTTAGAAAAAAAAAAAAAAAAAAAAAAAAAAAAAAAAAAAAAAAAAAAAAAAAAAAAAAGTTAAAAAAAAAGAAACACAACAAAAGAAAAAGTTGACCCGTTTATCGACATCACCAACCTCACTATCTTCAGTACACTAGTTGATGCGATTACGGGCGGCAAGAGCCAAGAGAAAGACTACGACGCAATGGAACACAAATGACGGAATGCCGCTGCACACGCTGAAGAGTGGGGTATACCCTCCCCTGATAATTGTACGGTATGCGAAGAATGGTGCACATGATTGGATAAAATCGAGGCGGCTGAGCAGGCCTCCCTCGTGCTTGCTCGCTCGCTCCCTCCTATTCAGTGGTGTCGAGTCCCCCCTGTTAGGTGGTGTTGGTTTGGGGGCGCTGCAGGTGACAGACGGAGTGAGAGCGACCTGAGGCGGGAAGAGGTTCGTTCGTCATCTGCTTGCTGCCAACGGCGAACTACACTACTTACTGTAGTTCTAGGTGCCCTCCCTGGTGCAAGTACATTCATTCAGAGACGGAACATCCAAAACACCGGACCTTCGACAACATTCGACAGCGCAGCGGCTGCCGGACCAAGACGTACCCGTACTGTAGAGTGCGGAACAAGACTCGAATCTTGTTTCTTTTTGCGAACCAGATCCGACTCATATCGCACATCCCAATACCTCAACGCGACTCCAAACCACACACCTACTGTAGCTCTAGGCAGCTCCCGCTCATCGAGCTCCCGCCTCTCCCCCTCTTCCATCCTAGGTCTGCCTAACAATACCGACACCGATACGATACCCACAACTACAACAACTCCTGACGTCCATTATCAGAACAAGCGATTGACACACAACACGACGGACCGATTCAATCTATAGTTTTACGGCTGTGTCACTTTGAAACGAACTACCGTGGTAGCCGACGACACCAGTTCCTGCCCGTCTGGCCAGCTGATAGTGACGACATCCCCCGAGGGCGCGCCCACTACCACTCCTCTCTCTGTTCCTCGTATTTCAACAACCAAAGAACTCTTGATACACCAGCTGCCAGACCAGACACAGCCACCACAATGTTTCGAGCCGCGGCCGCAGGGCCTTACGATGAGGCCATCAGTATGTATACCTTGACCATGGTGCATTCATACTTGTACTGACAGCGCGCTCCTGTACAGACAAGGCAACCGACGAGAACCTCACGTCCGAGGACTGGGGCGCCATCATGGAGGTCTGCGATCGGGTAGCCACCGATGCCAACGGCGCCAAAGAGGCCGTCAATAGCATGATCAAGCGCCTGGCCCATAGGAACGCCAATGTTCAGCTGTATACCCTCGAGGTGAGCTCATCATGTCACCTCTCTTACCAGCCCATATCTTCCAGCCAGATGCTAACCCGGCCTTTTAACCCCCCAGGTTGCAAACGCCCTCTCCCAAAACTGCGGCAAGAACATGCACCGCGAGCTCTCCAGCCGCGCCTTCACCGACGCCCTCCTCAAGCTCGCCAACGACCGCAACACCCACACCCAAGTCAAGGCCAAGATCCTCGAGCGCATGAAGGAGTGGTCCGACATGTTCAAGTCCGACTCCGACCTCGGCATCATGTACGACGCCTACTACCGCCTAAAGCAGTCGAACCCGACCCTGCAGCCGCCCAGCGCCCCGCAAAAGAATGTGCTCACCGATGCCGACCGCCAGAAGGAGGAGGAAGAGCTCCAGATGGCTCTCCAGCTCAGTTTGCAGGAAGAGGAACGGAAGAAGAGACCTGCTGGTGCTTCGGGGGCAACTGCATCCTCATCCAGTGGTGGTGCGGCCGCAGGGCCGAGCAACGCCGGGGGAGCAGGAGCGTCAGGGGAAGGCACGAACTCAACCGCTGGCCAGGCAGAGGCAACACCTCAGCCGGTTCCCTCGAGTACCACGGCCGCTACTGTGTCCCGTGTCAGGGCGCTCTACGACTTTGTCCCCTCGGAGCCGGGCGAGCTGGAGTTCAAAAAGGGTGATGTCATTGCCGTGTTGAAGAGCGTGTATAAGGATTGGTGGAGCGGATCTCTCAAGGGCAAGACGGGCATCTTCCCTCTGAACTATGTCGAAAAGCTGGCGGACCCGACCCCGGAGGAGTTGCAGCGTGAGGCGCAGATGGAGGCCGAGGTGTTTGCGGAGATCAAGAATGTAGAGAAGTTGTTGACACTCTTGAGTGCTGGAAACACGGGTCCAAGGGAGGAGGATAATGAAGAGATTTCGGTGAGTGAATGATTTGAAACGGGGTTGAAAAGTGATGTGCTGACGATGAGCAACAGAAGCTTTATCACCAGACGCTAGCGATTCGGCCCAAGCTTATCAAGCTGATTGAGAAGTACTCGCAGAAGAAGGGTACGTCTTGGGCTGTTCGTTATCGTGAAGAGGCTCCCACTAACAGCGTACAGATGACTTTACGCAGTTGAACGAAAAGTTCATCAAGGCTAGAAGAGACTATGAAGCGCTTCTTGAGTCTTCCATGTCTCACCCACCAGGACCGACTTATCACCAATACGCAATGAGACCTCCAATGACCAATAGCTACGGATCTGGGGGATATGGCGCCCCTCCTTCGCAACAGCAGCAGGAGCCGCCCCGGTTCTATAATCCAGCGCCCGCTCAAGGTACGTTCGTGAGAGAATTCGGTGGTCAGGGGATGTATTGATCGAGTATACATGAAGGGCTCAGAAGCTGATGTACATGGACCTACTCTCTAGATGCGCCCCAGTATCCTGCGACTTCGCCGTCGCCAAACCCTAACCATTTCATACGTCCTGCTGGCACTCCTGCGCCTTATTACATGGGGGGTGCTGAAGGCCCAGGACAACTTCAGCATCAACAGCAACCTCCTTACCCTCAACAGCAGCCGCAACCAGCATATGGTGGCCCCTCCCGACCTCAAGACCAGCAGCGAAATCCATCAGGACCCAGCCCTATGGCTCCCGCCCCGTTGAACACAACTTCCTCGCCACCCCCAGGGAATCAGTACACCCCTTACCAAGCCCCTGGCGCATCCGGAGCCAACAACCGCACATTTTCATACAGCAGTACAAACGGCGGTGCCCCCCAAGAGCTCTCTACCTCAGCCTATGACTCGCCCATCGCTCAACACAGCACTAACCCCCTCTCCAACCCATCCTACAGCGCTCCGTCCGCTCCCTCCTACAGCCAAGGGAGGCCTGGAGCTCCCACTGACGACCCCTACGGACCAACGAGCCCCGGAGCAGGAAGTAGCAGCAACGTAGGCTCCGCCCCTCCTCCTCCCTCCGGTCCCGCACCCTCCGCTCCTTCGGCTCCCTCAGCACCCGGTGCTCCCACCAGTTACGCACAGGGCGGATATCACAGCCAGAATCCTTACGCCGCCGCTGCCGCTGCCGCTGCGGCAGCTGCTTCTTCACGGACGCATGTCCCTGGGGTTTACGATGGTGCTGGTAGCGAAGTATCGTCGACGGCACCGCAGCCGCCTGCGGCATTGCAGCCTGGTGGTGGGGCACAGCCTCAGTACAAGGCTTACGTGCCTCCTGGGGCGCCGTCAGCGCCGGGTGGTGGTCACGAGGGACCAAGTGCCCCGGGGGCGCCTGGACAGAATGATGGGTTGGCGGATTATTACCGGAGTGCTTACTAAAGCCCATGAGGTGTTGTAGGGAAGTAATAGGTGTGACTGTTTGGTTCTGGGTAGCTCTAGCATGAGTGTTGGAAGAGAGGATGATGATAGTAGCGTGTAAGGCGAAGAGTTGGGTGATGTGTAGCTTTTTCCTGAAGGGATTGGAGATATAGGTACGAATAGAAGGAGAGATGGATGAGGTGGAAGGAATGGAGCGATTATTGAAACCTTTCATGTGTGACATGTCAAACTCATGTTGACTTGTATGGAAGAGGGTTTGATGACGTCCAGGCTCCTTGTCTCCTTCTGGCCGTGATAATGCATCGTTCCCCAACCCAAAGAATGCACTTACAGAAATTTATGTCTAAAGAAGGTAGAGCAGTGCCAAGGTGTATATCAGGGGACTTCAAGTTCACCCCTATTCTGGTACTCGACCTTCTAGAACCCCGGCATTAGTCAGTCGCTCATGGCTCATGAATGATGATTCCACTTCCATGGCCGCCTCTGCTGACCTCCTGAACTTGGATCCCCGAAGCGTACAAACTCCTCGCTGGACTCTTTCCGCCTCAATGGAACAACCTTTCGAGGAACCCACCATGTACATTACAATGCTGGTTTCATTGTCGGTTTGGTTCTTTTAGCAGGGCGAAAGAAGGGTAGAATAACGCCTATTAGGGACCCTAGTTACCAAGTCACAACAATTATCCGCAAAAATTTCAACGGCTTTTCTAAGCCCGGTAAGCTCTAGCTTTCTGTACCAAAGTAACAAACAACCCAGGGCTGGATTGTATTCCCCCCTCCTCCACCACCTGCTGCTGCTGATGCTGCTGCTGCTGCTCATCCTTTCGCGCCCGCTGCTTCAATTGTGCATGCGTTTCTCCATCACTTATCCTCTTTTTCTTCCCATTCCCCTCACCGTGTTGTTCATGGTAACCAGAAACTTGTTGACCGGCACCATCATCAACTTGAAACCTAACAAGCTGCTCCCCAGCAAGCACCACCCAGTTCCCATTCTCGTCATAGTCAAGTGTATGATACGTATCATCCGAAGAAACGACGACCCCTTTGTGTTCTTTTTCATTCTCCTTCTTATTTTTCTCCTTTTTCTCCTTTTTCTTCTTCTTCTTCTTCTTCTTCTCCTCCTCCTCCTTGCCTTCTACAATATCCTCCTCCTCCTCCTCCTCCTCCTCTTTTTTTCTTCTTCTTGAAAGCAATATTTCTACCTCTACCAATAATACCCAAGAGTACTTTCATTATAGCGTCTCGCCATGTTTTCTTGCTCTCATTTCTTTCCAAGAACTTGTTAGCCAGATCTCTCTCTTTC